CACTTACGACCAATTTTACCGAAAATTTAGTTAATAACTTTTTACCCGGTATGTCTAACATGAAACTTGATTCAAAACCTGAAAGAGAGCAATCATTTTTCTATTAATTGTGTATTCTTATTTCATTTACGTATCTCGATCCGTTTTCTAGAAAAATCGATTTAACAAACATTATGTTTTGATAATACGAGAAATTAAAAGCGAAACAAACCAAGTGTTTCTTCGTGTTATTACAATAATTAACAATAAAGCAATTGAAATTCGTAATAAAGATTTAAAGTCAGTGTTCGAAGAATCCACCGTTGACATTTACACACTTTACACAATGATTTCTGAGAGATCTTCGAGTTTGAAACAACATATTGGGATTGCGTTTGACTTCGTTGGCAGCGATTTGTATTTTTTGCCACAACTTTTCACACTAACCAATAGATTCTTCCAAATAGAAAAATGAAGAGGATTGATGTCCGGACTTCTGGGTGGCCAAGTAAAAATGCTTTCACACCTTGAAGAAGTTCCACTTTATTTAAGAAGAGACATGTGGTTCATGCACGACGGAGCTTCACCGCATTTTTCTTGGCCCGTGCGTGCATATTTAGATGCAGTTTTTCCAAATCGCTGGATTGGCCATGTAAGCATTTTTGCTTGACCATCCAAAAGTCCAGACTTCAGTATAGTTTACAAAGAATCTATTGGCTCGTGTCTTCACACACAGCTGTGGCAAAGAATACAAATCGCTGCTAAACAAAGTCAGACGCAATCCCAATAATATGTTGATTCAAACTCGAAAATCTCTCAGATAACGTGTAAAGTGTATCAGTGTCAACGATGGATTCTTCGAACAATGACTTTAAATCATAATTACGTATTTTATTTGTTTTAGTGTTAATTGTTGTAATAACACGAAGAAACACTTTGTTTGTTTCGCTTTTAATTTCTCATATTATCAAAACATAGTATTCGTTAAATCGATTTTTCTCGAAAACGGATCGAGATTCCGAAATGAAACAAGAATACTACACAATTAATGGAAAATGATTGCTATTTCAGGTTTTGAATTAAGTTTCATGTTAGACATACAGGGTAAAAAGTTATTAACTAAATTTTCGGTAAAATTGGTCGTAAGTGGCGCCCTCTATGAGCAATGCTGAAAATACAACACGCATCTTATTCGTCGCCTAAAAAATATAATTTCACAAATTTTCAGGTTCCTAATCTACATATTTTCAGAATAATCGCAAAAAACGATTTAAAATTTTAACTTTCAACACTGTATTTCCAAAACTATCAACTTTTGGACAAGGCATGTTTGCGCCAATAGTCACCATTTCACGTGTAGTATCTTCAGCTTTCGACTTTCCCATTGTTAATGAATCACCCTGTATACGTCTGTAATTTTATTTGCAATAAAGTTTATATCAAGTGATCTGATCACTAATAGAAAACGCTTTACATTAACAAACATGGGAACATTTCAAATATTTCAGTTGGCGACAAAATTCTTAATAATTAAAATAATTGGTGACACTTCTGTTCTGCGGCAAACTTAAGAAAACTTACTTGTTTGTCAAATATGTTGTGTAAATTATAAACTCAATATTTTCCATAAAGTGGTAATAGGTGGTCTTTTGGTACAGCAAATTCAGTTTGTGGGTACCCAATGGACCCAATAAAAGTTACTGCAGAAACAAATCAGTAAATAAGGTATGTATTAGAGAATACCCTTATGTCTCCCACTGTGACAATGGCTAGGTAGTTAGTAAAATTATTTTCCTTTGTAACATTCTAGCTTTATTATGGAGGATACCTTGAGTGTTAAATCTAATGAATCAGTAGCAACAAGTGAAGAATTCGATTTTATAGGTGATAAACCAGGAGTCAGTAAAACACCAACGCTGGATTTTAAGAATGGAGATTTAAAGGAATTAACAGACGCTCTTACTGAGGTTTTGGAGGAAACTGATAGTAATATAACTGAAGCTATTGGAAATGATATAAAAATGGATCAGAGTGCGTTCTGTGGATGTGGTGCAAAAATTGAGGATCCTTTGAGTATGGAAGGTTTGTCCCCCACAGAGAAACAGGATTCAATGAAACCTGATACTAGTTCAGAGGAAGATGATAGTAGTAAGTAATTTGCTGCTTTATTTTAAACATTTTATATTTACTATGCCAAATGGGAAAGGGTACATAATTGCCAGTGTGTAATTTAAAAGTGAGTCAAATATTATTCTTTTGTGTTTAGTTCGTAACCTTGTAAGGATTCAGTATATTAAATTATATTCCTATTATTTAGAATACCTAAATATGTATTTAACTTGTAACTTTAATGTGTTTAACTTTGAGATTTATTTTTAATGGGGGAGACATCTTCATAAAAGAAACTGGTTGCTAAAAATTTACCCCAGTAAAAGTTGCCTAGAAATGCCAGAAAAATACTTTTTAATTAAATATATCATTGTTTGGGTACCGCTGTGATATTTAGATCTAGCCGAGTCTTATAATTTATTGCCAACTGTTATTTTATCATTTCAACAATACATCTACTTCTCATTCTAAATTAGTTGTTTTTTAACTGTCATCTTTTTGCATCTAAAATCTTTAGATTTCAACAGTTCAACAGTTTGTACTCTTATACAAGATCAGTATTTAATTATTCTATTATAACAAGATAGAGTTATTAAAAAAAAATTATCAAATTTTTAACACCCTGTATATCTTTAAAAAGGGGTAGCTGAATTAAGTTGTAACTTTATTATACTGTTGATGAACGTTTTTTAGAATCACTTAATTTAATTTGAATTAAAGGTTAGAAAATATAATTTTTTAAACTTAATATAAATAATAAATTATATACATTTTATTCTAAAAATAAGTAATTCGTTGTATACAGTGTGACACACGTTTCAAGAAATCATATCTTTTTTCGAGAATATTTGCAACCCAGTTTCAGATGTGGACCAAGAGTGCACCATATTTTCTGGAGTTACATATCTCGGGGCAGCTGCAATAAATGCGCCAAAGTCTGAACCAGAAATACAACGTAATATGGTAATACTGAATGAACAAAGTACCGATCAGGGCATTAAGATATCAGTATCGGTTCCGTCTTCATCACAGGGCTTAGTTGTGTGAGTTACACCACTTATAAAAATATTGTAATTAGTTTACTTTCATGGAGATATTTTAGAAAGTTTTTTTTTATAGTCTCTATGATGCCAATACTCATTCCGTCATTTCTCGTTACGAGATACATAGAATTCTATTCTACGCTCGCGGGTCTGCCGATAGTCCAGAGGCTGGCTGCTTTGCTTTTGTGTGGTCGCATGGAGACTCGCAAGAGTCGGCTATATTCCAGTGCCATATTTTCCGATGTGATATCGCCGAGGCCGTCACACGAGTTTCTGGTAAATAAATCTGCCGTTTCTATGAACAAACATGTAAGATATTTTTGTGATGCGTAAATTTTCTTCTTGAAGCTCTCAGACATAATGTGTGACAACTATTCTCCATCTCCAAGTCTATTTCACTCTCCACTTCATTCATAGCTAACACTTGAGTCGTGATATTTTAACGCAAATTTTTATTTTCAGTTTTCAAAAAAACTTTGTTAAGTACACAATTGCAAAGTTTCCTTTGATTACTCATTTTTTTTTACTCTACTACTTACAAAAACCTCCACTCTCAAATACAAAGGTAATACTTTTCAACAATATATCGGACAAGTAATATCCATTTGATTTTGTAACCTTATATTCTAAAAATACCCAAAACATCATAAAACTTCCTTATCTAGTTTTATTACATGCCCAGTGATAAAAATATTTTCCAACCGAAACTTTAAACACTTTGTGAAATGCTGTTTATTTGTAGCTTGCTTTGCTAAGGCTTTCCAACGAGTTCCGCGTTCCATGAGCAGTTCCGTAGTTTCTGTGGCTGACATGACGGGATCCATTACAACTCTTTCAGAAGTTCGTACCTTGATGTACGTTTTCGAGGTCAGCCTAGAAATAAAAGAAGACGACGGCAAAGTAATATAGATGAAAGTGTTATAAATATATGTGAAATATTAAATCATGCATCTTTTAGGGATCGTTTACCACCGTGGGCAAAGATAAGAACGGTTTCCGACTGAAACTGAACGTTGAGAAGCAACTATGTCTCAGCATCCGTCAAGTTTCCGACAACGGTCCCCAACTCTTTATCGAGAGGTGTTTCGGCGTCTTGGTTGCCGCTGGTCGGCACGTCAGGCACTCCGATATGCAGCTCTTAGAAATGGTAACATTTGATTGAACCTCTCGTGATTTTTTAAAAAATAACGTAATATTTCTAGAAGGAGCAAGGCGCCTCAAATAGTACGTCCCATGAGAGAAACTGCACGCTAATCTCGGCATCTTGGGATCCCACAGAGCCTTCATTTGAGCCCCTTAATATAGAGACGCCAAAAGAACTGAAGCAGTACATGACTGTTGCAGTGGATTTGGTTATAAGAGGGATACAGGAACCAGTCAGGTTTCAAATAGAAACGCCTGTGAGGATCTTCGGGCAGAGCGAGAGGAACTTTTGGTATTTTCAGAGGAAAAGTCTCGTTCAGCAGTTTTTCTTGAATCTGAAAGAGGTAAGTGACAATATGTAACATGGGGTATTATAGCTTGTTCAAATTAAATATTTTCTTCTTTAATAATTAGTAAATGGGTAGTATAATTTGTGACTTAATCATCATGGAATTTAGATTTAGATTTAGCTTTTAGAGCTGCTTTGGAAATCTATTACCTACAGGCATATGCCTGAGCACAACAACGCTGTGTTGCCCATTTGCAGTTTTTCCTCCAGCTTTAGGGATTTTTTTTTAGTCAAAATTGGTGATATAATTGTGCATACTTTTCTCTGTGTGAGGTTAAGCAAAAAAACATTTCCTAAAAATTATCTTTTGACTGAACCTTTTTGCACAAACTATTTTAAAAATTTTTTATAGGTTGTGACTACCTCAATAAATATAAAAATAAATAAATTTGTTTATTCGCTGGCCATATTCATAGCTTACATTAAATAGAATAAGAAAAAAAAAGTGGTGCAGGCGAAAATTTTCATATTTTCAAGATCAAACTACTTTAAATGAATTTGGAAATTTTTAGTTGCATTTGCAATATTACTGAAAAACTGACGTTCGCGAGAAGGATTTTCAATTAGATTTTATAAAAAATTAAAATTAATTCAGCTTGTGGACTTTTGCGAACATTAACACACACTGACCACACCGTATATGTTCCAAAGAAGCTTCGTGGTTACTACAGCCTCGCGGGACGTTCCCAAAATTGTTAAATCCCTCCTTATTCCACACGCCCAACTTTACACCCACAATTAAAAAAAAAAGGTTTTTTTACATAAACACTTCCACATAACCACTTATACTCCGAATACCATTCATTCTGAAACTTCCGAACGTACACGTCTTTCGACTTCCCCTTTTTTCCATATCGAGAAAATAATGCGCAGGTTTGTCACAATTTAAACAATCCTTTTTGTCCTCAATTTCCCATCTGGAAAAAGGCATTTCCAATAAAATACATACTGGATCATACATAGGAAATATTTCTACAACTATTATATGAAACAAATATTAACAAAGAACCGTTATAATCGTGCACTGGGCGAAGCATATTGTGTAAACTGTTTAAAGGCAGACGTTGCCGCGATCTGTGATGACAAATAATGCTGCTTCAATTTCCCGTCATTCGTTCCTCCACGACGTAGTATTACTCCCGTGTTGGCCGACTCGTTGCCATGACAACCTCCGTAAACAACGCTACGAAGAGGAGCGAAATACAGACTGATTTCGATTCGCGTCACTTGCTTATACTTTACGTTGTATGGTAGGAGGTTGATGTTTGCGCTCAACGAAGGCAATGTTTTTTTAGAAGGTATTCACTGCGCAACTATTCTTTTTATTTCAGCATATTAAACAAACAAACAATACATTTTCGATTTAAAATTATACCTAAATTATAAATTTTATAAAATTAAAAATAATTTTAAATTGCACAACTAAATGGAAATTTTAGGTGATTAAATTGCACAACTAAATGGAAATTTTAGGTGAGGCGGTGCGTCACATGGGTCACCTGGCGAGACGCCACTGAGTGAATGTCCTCTAAAAAAGTGTGCCCCAAAAAGAGACAATTACTTAAATTATTATAATACGGCGATAAAAGTAATACATGTAATAAATACTACTGATTTGTCTAATCTAAAGGCATTGATTGCTAACGCCCACTGGGTCCTGACGGCCTACAAACGTCAAAATTTGTGGAGGAGCGTCATCTCGTACTTTGACTTATCTGATATTGTATCTTACAAAACCAGTGTTAGCTCAGTTTTCATCTGAAATTGATTTATATGGTTAAATAACAGTTAATTCTCTGAAGGATGATACATTGTTTTTTTATATAAGTTCAAACAGTTATCTTTGTTTATGTGGAATATTTTGAAAAAATTGGATCATCGATAACTACATAAACAAGGATTCCTTTATTTACAAGGAAAAATGTTGAATGTTATTGTGTGTAACGATTTTGTATAGGGTGCGTAATGAAAAACTTGAATCATAATTAGAGAAAGTTCGGTTCAAAAGTTTTATAAGTTTTGTGCAAACGTGACAAAAGTGAAGTATTTTCCTTAATTAAATTCAAGAATGTTGTCTTGTATAGACTGCGTGCAAGCTGCAAACTCATACCCAATTGGGAGCTAGGGCGTGCATTGTTGTCAAATCTCATTTTTCATGATTTATACGTAATGAAGACTGTATTAAAACATTAGATAAAATGGAAATTTGTATTTATCTTTGCTTTCACATGTAGTATTTAATCAAACAAAACTATTTCAGATATCATTCCTATGAAATTAAAATGAAAACATATTAAAGCTTCATAAATGTGACCAAAATGTAATTTTATCCTCCCGGTATGTGTAAGTTAATGACCTTATTTAAAGCGTATTATTCTTATCTAAAAAATGCGAGTGGTAGTTATCTGTCAATTTTATTGCTGGGTATATATTATAATTTGGCGAATATCGAACAATACATAATCATAATTTATTTTAGATCGTTTCCGAATTGAATGACGTCTATTACGAGGTTCTGAACATGGAGACCTCGGGTGAACTAGATAGAAACCTGTTGAATCTAAATCTGAATTTGTCCAGTTTGATACAATCGCCCAGTATCACCCCGATAGACACCCTGACGCCTAAAGAAGAATTCCACTCAGGTAAATCCCTTCCTAGAGGTAATTACTCGAAAAATAAGCGTGTAGATAATTCTATGTTTTATGTGCTTCGCATAACTTTCGTTTGTAGACGGCGATGAACCTTTGTTGAGCGGTACGGGTCTGGTGTCTAAGGATTGCTCTGAGGACGTCTTGGAAAATTGGGCGGACGTTCTGAATCGGTGGAAGTCTACGAAGCAGAAACCTAAGCAACTCGCTAGCTTAGTCAGGTTGGGTATTCCAGAAGCTTTAAGGGGCGAAGTGTGGCAGAGGTTAGCCGGCGTAGAGGAAAACAACGAAATGATGGAAAATTATCGAGTTCTAATAACGAAGGTAAATAATAAAACTTTCAGAAATAAAAAAAAATTACTTTCTTTTATTAAATTTCTTGCATTAAGACCTTTATAAAAAGACCAATTAATAACATTATAACTATTTTTTAAGTTGCATTTAAACTCTTGTGTACGCCGCCATTGGGAACACCCAAACTCTGTTGTATCAGCACGCTTATCAGTATTGTTTGTTTAGGAGTCCAGTTGTGAGAACGTCATTCAAAGGGATATCGCCCGCACTTTTCCTGCCCACGATTTTTTCAAGGAGGCCGGTGGTTTGGGACAGGATTCTCTGTATAGAGTGAGCAAGGCTTATGCCGCTTACGATTCAGAAGTGGGATATTGTCAGGGACTAAGTTTTCTTGCAGCTACCCTCCTGTTACATGTAAGTAAAAAAAAAATTGTTTTTCTCCAATAAATAAATGAATATTGTGCATTGTCTCTAATAAAATTTTATTTCAGATGCCGGAAGAACAGGCCTTTTGCGTCCTCGTGAAGCTGATGTACGACTATCGCCTGAGAGACCTGTACAAAGACGGTTTCGATAACTTGTATTTAAGGCTGTTCCAGCTCAACAAGCTGATGGAGGAACAGTTGACCCCGTTGTGGGTGCATTTCAGAGAGCACCACATCGAAACCCACATGTTTGCGTCCCAGTGGTTCCTAACCCTGTTCACTGCCAGATTTCCGTTATACTTTGTGTTCCACATCATCGACGTTTTTCTCTTGCAAGGCATCGACACGCTGTTCCAAGTAGCACTGGCGTTGTTGATGGTAAGTAATCGAAGATTTTTCCCCTTCCGATTATCCATTCTGAATATTTTTTTTATAAAGTGTTTGATGATTTCTAGCTTTGCAAAAGAGACCTGCTGCAGCTGGACTTCGAGGGTATTCTGAAATACTTCAGGGTTTCCCTGCCAAAGAAGTGCAGGACTGAGGAGTCTGCGAAACAATTAATGAAGTTGGCATGCAGTTTGAAGGTTAAAAAACTTAAAAAATACGAACTAGAGTTTATAGCTTTAAAAGGTAAGTGTTGAATTGAGGAACGCGGTTTTAGAAAACTGCAAGGCGGTGATTGATTCTTCATTGTTACTTATTGGCTGGCTGCGGTTGTGTCTCAGTATCGGTCTCTCAAAATTGTAAAACCTGATTGTACACCTAAAATTGATTTGTAAACATTTTTCTTCGTCATTCCGATACCCATTACCTAGGAAATGTACCTACATATCTATTTATCGATAAACGTTCCCTTCAGTCAACTGGAAACGGGAATGACGAATAATAAAAAGTGTAGTTAGGTAATTGGAACGAGAATTACAACAGAAAAAGTTTATAAATTGACATTGAAGACAAAAATTGACTTAGTCTTACAAATAATGTTTGTGGTTACTTTACATTGAAAATTAGTGATGGGAGATCTTGAGTGGTACCTACTCGATTCTTAAAAGTTCTCGTTGTTCTGGCATACTTGCTGAAAGTACTTGAATACTTTTAGTTCTCACATTGACTGAAATATTTCAATTACCGTTTCTTGATATTTGTAAAGTTACCCGGCAAATAACATACGAGACGAGAGTTCTCGAGTGTGGAAAATATTTGAATAAATTGAAATCAATTACTGATTTAGCATAGCGACTGAATCAGAAGAATTTGAATACCTTTAGTTTTCGGTGGTTGTCAAATAGCATTCACTTAAACAAACGCCTGACTCGTAAACAAATACTTTCAAGTATCCTATACAGGATGATTCACTTTTTATGATTAGAACTTTAACCATCGATAGATCTCGTCAAAATAATGTCATTTTGAAGTATACACATTTTCTTCGAAAGGTTTTCTTTTAGTGATATAAGCTCTCGAAGAAACATTTTAGGTTTTTGAGCCAAAATGGCTTCTTATGGATGCATTACATGTGAAATGGTTAAGTTTTTCAAACAAAGATTTAAATACTTTACTCAACGACTTACCGTTACTTCTAAGGAAATATATGTGAATTAATCATGTAGAACCTGGTACCGGTCCCATTGCTTGGCCGCCACGATCGCTAGATCTAAATCCCATGGATTATTTCGTTTAGGGATTTATTAAAGAAAGGGTGTATAGTTCACCAGTCTGTAAGTAAGTAAACATTTATTTCCTCAAGTTATTACAATATGAAGTTACATAAATAGAAAAAAAATTTAGAGATTAGAGAAGAATAACATAAAAAACCTAATTAAAGGTGTAAGGAAAGTATTGTGTTGATGACAAATATTAAGTAAGTATACCAACATATTTACATATCTGCGTTTTTTGCCCCACAAATTGAAAGAATGTAAAAATTAAAAAAAAAGAAGAGTACAAATACCCATACAGTACAAACCTACAGCTAAACATTAAAAATACAAAGGGAATCAAAATTGACAGTAAATAAACACGCATAATTATGTATTTTACAGGTACAAGTTAAAACTTAATTTTGATAAAAGACGTGATACACTCTTATTGCCTTAGAGTGCACTGATAAAAAATTCATTTAAAGAATAGAATTCATGACCTCGTAAAAGGATTTTTAGTTTTCGCTTGAAAACTTTACTGTTTAATGTCTTCAGATGAGATGGTAATTTATTATAAACCTTTTTCCCCGAATACAAAACACCATTGCGACTTCTATTATAATTATATTGTGGTAAAGTGAGATTTTGATAATGTGTAGGACAACTATGATAATCACTTGGCGTGTTGATCAAATGTTTATTTTTATGAATTAAAATAGATAATCTGTAAACATATAGTTATGACATTGTATCTCTTAAGATAACCTAGATTACAATAATGTGCTTCAAAACAAATGCACTCTGTATAAATAAGTACTAGTATACCATTTTAGTAAAACAAAACGTTTTAGAACTATTTGGAAAAAAATTATTTTTTCTCAAAGTTTGATCTGGGTAAACAAAGATGGACAGAGGTAAACTTAGTTAAATGGCCTTGCTTCCATGCCAGAATTTGTATTCGGACTAAATATTTAATAACTTGGAAAAAATGGAACAATTGGAAAAATGAAAAAAAAATATTGATTCAAATATTTTTCCAGATATCTTGGGACATCCAGGAAATGGCGAGCATTATGTTTTATTTTACTTTTATTCGGGCTCACCTTGTAGAGCTCTCGAAGTTGAAAAACATTATTCATGATAACTTTTTTGTTCCTTATCAAATTTGGATAGTTTTTCCTTAAAAGCTACGCTTTTTGATGTTATGTGATCAATTTACTGTCTTACTTTAGGTAGTCTTCACCCTCAAAAAAGTTACAGGTTTACTTTTTTAATTCACCCATTTTAAGACTTTTGTACTTTTTAATGTGGACAATGTATACTTCTTTGTCATCTACACAAGGAACCGTTTTCGAGATAAAAGCTTTTAATAATGATGGTATACTATTTCCTAGAATTCTTTAGGTTCTGGTTTTTTATGTTTTATTTATTTTGTTGTAGGAAAGACTGATTTTACTTTTCATGTATTTTTAGTATTATTAATAATTATATATACGAGTATATGTTAAAATTAGTATCATGTCTTCATGATTAAATGCGTTTATCTAGAAAACAGGTCCTTGAGTCCATATTAAACAAGTACAACTTTTCACTTAAAAAAGTACAGCAATCTTAAAAACAATAAGAATTAAAAAAGGAAGTCTATACATGACCAAGACAGCTGAAGGCGCACTGTCCCAGGGCCGCCAACGTAGCTATCAGTAAATTAATTACCTTTTTCAACACTCGACTTCTTATAACGCTAACAACTCTACATGGTAAATCTGAATAAAAACAAAATAACACTTATGTTATTTTTGCAAGTGCTGCCCAAATCTGAAAGATTGCTCACCATTTCTTGGCGTCCTGTATTTTTTGGAATAAGCCTCAATTAGTTTCAAAGCAATACATTTTAACAAAATATATATATTATATATTTGGGACTCGAGCACGAATTAATCAATCTTAATTTTCCATGATCGAAACAATGAAAATAAACAAAATATTAATTTTTTATAATTAACAAATTATAACAATAAAGCAATTTCAGAAAAAAAAAAACATTATTTTGCATTAGATTTCATGTCAGATGCCTTTGATTCCAGAGCAACATTTTTTTAGCCTTTCTAAACATATTAAGAATGATTTTCTTTTATTAAAGCAATTTCTAAAGATTGTTTTTTTAAATACATCTTATTTATATCAGCAAACATAGTGCCTAGAACCCTTCATATCTTTTCAACAAAAGTACAAGTTTTCCATATTTTTTTCAATTTTTTTGGGGAAAAAACGATTTTTTACCAGTGCAATTTTTTCAAAAATTCTGGACCTCTGAGACACTACTCCATATAAGAATGTACACATTATTCTCGTACCTACTGAATTTTCTTCTTGGTAGTTCAACCTCGTCAACCTGGTCTCTAAAGTAGAATTACCCCGCAAAGTCCTCTTATTGTTTAAATGAATATTTACAGATCTAGTGACGGGAGCGTTTCCGCTCTTCCTAGGAGGGGGCGGCAGGGACGAACTCTGAACGTTCTCCGAGCTCTTCCGTTTCCGGGAAACATTTTCCGAATTCTCGTTGCAAATTCCCTTGCATTTTGAACACAATACTTGGGGTGGCCTTAATCTAACAGTCATCTTGTTATTTTTATATTTACTTGGCATTTGAACGTTTTTTTTCTTTGAATTGGTGGGGTCGGTGTAAGCAAATCTTTGGTTAACGAAATAAAGGGTGTCATCGTCGGGGTTTTTCGTGGGAACGTTGAACGCTGGGTTTACATTGGGCACCCCGCAAGGCAGGTTTCTAAAATGCAAAAGTTATTCCTGAATATGGAAATACCTATTTAATATTTTCCACAATTCAAAAACTAAAATTAATCCAATATTTCACTATATATATATTTTTTGGTATAATAGAAGGGATGATGATGAACAGGGAAGTATTAAAAAAAAATAATAATGCTAATTCGCTATTATGGATTTTATTGAAATCAAAAGAATTTACAGATCTATGTTACATAAAAATGTATCTTTGAAATTTTATCATTGTTACTGGGTATCCTTTATTTTCAGCAAGTAGATATTTCACCACTTATGATTTTTGTATCACCAGATTCTTCCACCTTTTAACTACTTAAGGAACCCTTTATTAAAAGCTATTAACAAATTAAAAAACTCTTGTAATTATATCCAAGACAGATCAATTTCAAATACAGCAAACGTCATTTCTCAAACTAATTCTTTTATAGAAACAAACCACTTTGCCTCCAAAATCAAGCAATCGAAAATTTTTATCCAATTTAATTTTTTACAATGTTTTCAAGTAAGTAAAAATATAAAAATATTGAATCAAAACTTGTAAAATGTCCATCGATTTCCCTATAATACTTTCAATTAAGCTGTGTTAAGAAATTTTTATTGAAATTTCAGTTTTCAGCATATGCAAGATGAAACAAGTTTCTTTTTTCGAAAACGGTTATATAAACATGGATCCATAAATCATGATGCAAGATTCACTATGAGATAAATCACATAGAATTCTTATTGTCTTTTTTTGTACCAGGAATACATCTTCAGAACTAGTAGATCCTCCTCAAAGCTCAATTCCATATTGCAATATACATACTCTGGAAATATGCATAATAAACAATCTTTGCTGTGGAAAAATCAATATTTCGTTTAACAGTTAGTATTGCATAATATGGCTTTCCCTAGCTTTGTCTTTAAATTGGTTATGTGCTCCATCCAATTCAATTGAGAGTCGACATAAATGCCAAGAAATTTTGTGGAATGTACTGAGCATATTTGATCACTATTTAATTTTAAAGAGGTATCTGTATACTGTTAGTTTTATTGCAATTTAGCATCAGTTTATTTGCAAGAAACCAATCAGAAATGTGTTCTAAAATATTTTGTGCTTTGGTTATTAAATCGTTTTTGTTAGCAACCTGTATTAACAAGCTGGTGTCGTCAGCAAATAATAAAAATTTGACCTCTGGAAAATTTGGGACGATATCATTAATATACAACAGAAATAACAGTGGTCCCAAAATAGAACCTTGTAGAACTCCGCTTTCAACTCTGGCAAAGCCGGTATGAATTTTTTTTGATACACAACTTTTTATTTCGACTATTTCAGTACACATCTGTCTTTCAAATAAATATGTTTTAAACCAATTGTTTTCCTTGTCAGTTATGCCATAATACTCCAGCTTGTCAAGTAATATTTGGTGATCAATACAATCAAAAGCCTTAGACAGATCACAAAAAATGCCTAACGGGATTTCCTTATTTTCCAAACATTTATTGATGTCTATTAACTTAAAAGCAGCATCTGTAGTGTTAAAGTTTTCCCTAAATCTGAATTGTGAATTATCCAAAATGTGACACCTTTTTAAATACAATAATAATAGTTGTTGTTTAACTACCTATATGTTCTAGGATTTTTGAAAACGACGGTAAAAGAGATATACCCCTATAATTTTGTGGGGAGCAATTTGTCTTGCTTTTTAAAAAGCGGCTTTGTTATCGCTTTTTTAAAGGATTTAGGAAATTCACCATTCATTAAGGACAAATTAATTAGGTTTAATGTTTAATGTTTAATGTGGCTAACTTTAAAACACATACACATACATAACTTTTACACGTCAATCATGTAGGAACCTAAGTATAAAAAAATAATACTTGTTAAATCTTATTTAACGTTGTATCTTAGGTGTTAGGCCTACTTTTAGAAAACAGATAAAACAATTACAGTATATTAAAATTAACACTAAGAAGAAAAAAAAAAAAAGAAACAAAAACGTTATACACATTGCACCTAAGTGAATTAACACTTGTATTGTGCAAGCACAAAATCCATTAAGTATATGCTGTATATACAATATGAGTAAAATTCAAATTATTATTATCATCTTTCGTATTAGCTAGGATATTATTCAATCAATGACAAAAAAGACAAATAGTTGTTACTTATGTATGTTTTGCAGAGGTGCGAGTATTTTTTAAAGCTTTTGGTTCTTCTTATTTCTAAGGGTAACAAGTTGTATGTCTTGGGAGCTAAATGTGTTGCAAATCTCAAACCTATGGTTTTATTATTAAAAGGTGTTAGTAAAGCTTCGTTTGACATACTCCGAGTTACCCTAACATTCATTATCAACTGTTTTTCATTTTTAAATACATTTGTACACAATGAATGGAAATACAAAGATCTAATATTACATATTCCATCCTTGAAAAGTAAACTGGTCGGGTATAATTTATTTTTTTTTAAAATGATTTTTAATATTTTAAAGGTTTCGCTAAAGCTTCAGCATTATCCTTTATTATAGTTATAGGGATATTATCATAGCCAGCAGACATCTTAGGTTTTAAAGCTTGTAATGTTTTTTTTCCATCTAAGCGAGTAATTTGTTCGAACCAAAATCTAATTGTGTTGCTAATTTTAACATTATTAATATAACTTGACTTTTTTGATATTGTGTTTGGTAAAATATCCTTCGGGGAATTAATAAAAAAGCTGTACTCTTGAAAAGTTAAGAAAAATAATTTAAAATAATTGTGAAACTTTTCAAATGCATTGAGGTTCGAGGACAACGTTTCGAATATTTGTTGTGATACTTTTTCTTTTGTTCTCTATTGTTAATTGTTATTTTTACTTGTTTCTCAATATTAAAAATTGTATTCTGTGCTACTTTGCTTGAAAATCTTAACCATTTCACATGTAATGAATCTGTAAGAAACTATTTTTCTCAAAAACGAAGCATTTCATTTAAAAATAGCAAGAGACTTTTTTGCTGTAGAATAAATCGCAATGTAAAAAAAATATATTCATTTTGTAAAATTTCCAGTTGCTTCTAAATGCGTCTATGATTCATCTATTTTCATGATAATGTGTAAAATCGACTGAGATTTTCATTTGTACACTTCATACTAAATATAAAATAAATGGCTTTCATAGTATACGAAAAAATAAATAAAAACCAAAAAAAAAGTTTTTTTCAATAGCACAAGAGGAAAAAGTGTCTATCGACTCACATATTGTTTGATTTTAAAAATATTTATTGGAAACAAAAGGACATATTAAAATAATAAATTAATTTTGATTTAAGAAAAAACAGCGACTTTAAATAATTCTACACAAAACTTTATATATAAAACTCTAAATCTAGACTTCCCCTCTCCCATTTTATCATAACGTTCATCATTCAACGTCTAGTTTTCTGTCCGGCACTCGATTCTCGGATAATCATTCGATTTTTAAAAGTATTTGAGAACCGAATTCTCGATTCTTAAAAGTATTCGAGAACCGAGTTCTTGATTCTTAAAAGTATTCGAGAACCGAGTTCTCGATTGTTAAAAATACTCGATTCTGCCCATCACTATTGCAAATTAATGTAATTAGGTACCAAGTTTTGGTACACTCTGTATATACCGAGTCCAAAATAAAGATGTTTTTTAAGGGGGGTATGGAAACAGATTACAGATATCTTTTTTAGTTTTTTTTATTTTCAATTTTATTTTCTATTTTTATTATTAGAGCTATAGCAAATAGAAGAGCACTTCGTTGTAGCAATGTTATTTGTGTTTTCTTCTGGAAGAGTCGTACGGTTTTCGGGGGTTCTGCTCTGAAATTGATCTGAAACAGAGTTATGACATACATTTTAAATAAATTGCTCGTAATTGTTTAAGGAGCACACTACATTTTAAAAGTCATGAACCAAGGAACTTCACTTCGTTGTGTGACAATTGCAGACTTGACAATTTTTTGCCTGCCAAAGGCATCAGGTGATTTGATATGTAGTTAATCTGAACTAGGTCAGTGTCGGAGATCATTGTCGATGAAATTCACAAACTAAACTCGGTGCTTTAACGCTTTTTATTAAAAACTAAATGATTCTAAAAATATTTCAAATCTATAAGATTAGTATTTTATTATGTACATTTAATAAAACATTAAAAGTAATTATTTTAAAACATAAATTAATTACAATTAGTAACATATACCTCTACAGATACTAATTTTATATTAATATTTAATAAAAATATTAATTTTTTAGACACATAAAATTTTTTAAAGCTTGGCATGTCCACAGTAAGCAATCTATTTTTATAAAATTAGTTTCAATTGCAGATCTGGTCTCTGCTACTTTATTAGTTTAATAGAGTTTGGAAGTAACTGAGTTCGGAAGCTGCCCACTGGCAGCGTAGATAAGAATTTATGAGCACTGTAAAAAATGAATTGTAACACGTAATATTACTCCAAAGAAACTGACTTCCACTTAAAATTACACTTTACATGTGAGATCTGTTTCCACCAATTCAATAATCACCTAATGGCTAAACAGTTTTCTAATTTGAGCCACCCAATGATATTCATCTTTTATTTTGGACACCTTGTATAACAACAGACTTTTTGGTTCTGTTTCTTTAATTCACAATGCCTCGTCTTGAGGAGACGTCACATAGTACGACACAACTAGCAGCTAGCGTAAATACTATATGTGCCTCTCCTAGACAGCTGGGAAATTATCTCTTTGGATTCAGAGGCTGCCGACAATGCGGAGAAAGAGGCCAGCGAGGTTGAGCAACTGAGGCTGACCGTGGCGCGATCCGAGGAGGAACGTAAACTCATGATCGATGAGATATCGCAGTTGAAGGAGATGTTGATGCGAGAGGTTAATCAAGCCGAGATCGACAAAAAGAGCAACATGACAATTATTAACGACTTCAAAACGATAAGGCAGAGGCTGGACACGCAGTTGCACGCGGCGAACGCTGAACTGAACGATTTGAAGGTACGTATTTATTTTTAAATCGATGCAGATAAGGTAATCGTGTTTTGTAGTTCAAGATCTTGAATTGCGAGACATGCTCCAAGCATATACAGAAGAATAATTCCGACATAACAAATTCCAACATGATGGAAGCAGTCAACGACAGCGAACGGATAAGGGAACTAGAATTAGAGCTGGCACAGACTAAGTTGGCACATGTAGAAGCCGAATGTAGAAATCAGGTACGATGTAATTTTTTAAATTTTAATGTGTACACAATGCAGTGGCGGCTTGTGACTTTTTGAGATGGGTGGACAAAATATTTTTTCTCTCATGTAACTTTAACTTGTAAGTAAATAACCATATCAATAATGCGCTTTACAATGTCTCTATTTTTGTCCACGACTTTATTATGTTTTAAAATATTCTCACAAAATGCGGAATCAAGAAAAGTTTGAATGTTTTGTTTTCCTAATAATTTAAATTTTAATGTTGAATATATATGCTCCTCCGATCGCTTGTGTTTTTTAAGGATTCATTAATATGTTTCAGATCTGAATATCCTAGATAATTTCACGTAGTTTTAATTTTTTCATTAAACAGGCAGCAATTTCAACAAAATAATTTGTTTTTCGTTTCACTACCTGTTAATCACTCATATTTATTGTACCAATTTTTACTAAATGATCTGTTGCTTCCGCAATTGTTTTTATTTATTAAATTTTTCATGTTAGGCGTAGGTTTTAATTGTGAAATAAATAATTTATTATCGAAAGTTAACATACTAAATTTTTATCTAATAAATTCACGAATTTCACTTGCCAATTTGTTTTACACCAAACTATTAAACAATATAAACTTACCTAAACCACTACTACTAACCCTAACCTATAACTAAGTTATAAGGCACAAGGAATAATAAAACATAAACAAACCGCAGATTAGGTATACATAAGTACCCGAGGAATATACGAGTGAAGCCGAAGGGCTTGCCCGATGTCGTAGGTTTATTTTATGTATACTCAAATGATAATTTATTAAAAATCTGATTGAAAGTCAAAAAATGTTTAAATAGAAACTAAAGTTTTTTTTAAATCTAACAGTTTCTTTATTATTTGAAAAAAAAATAGATATTGGATTTAAAAGTCCTAAAAATAATTTACTTCACTTCCACATTTACAAACTCGAATCTATTAAAACATTGAAAATTCCTCTGCAATCACTCTTAATTCAGTTTAACAGTAACGAGTTAAAAAAAACCTTAATAATTATAATTATCATTATCAAAGAACATTGAACATTATTTAAGTCGATTTACAAATTATTATAAAACGGTTTATTACTACGTTTACTAAGATTTGTTTTCTGGAATACCTTAGCCGGAAAAAATTGTTCTAATGTTGAAAAATTCATTTAAAGTACAAAATTGCAGCAAATAGATATACATGCGTATATTTCCATCGCTCGCCGCCGAGGAAAAGCCTTGGCGCAGACAACACTCGATATGCGGGTTCACCCAGCTTGGGCCAAATATTGTGAATTAGTGAACGACTTACGGTTCCGATTACTTTCTAGTCGTAGGTACGTATAAGCAGGTAATGGACGGTGTTGTTTAGTTCAGCGACCACGGGCAAGCCCAAATGTTATGTTGGTTGCTGCTGAGATCACGATTATTATAAATTTTAAAATTCGGTAGTGGGAGTTTCAAAGGAGGTAATGCATTTTAGATTTAATTTTCCCTGCCCACCTCGACGAGCCGCCACTGACACAATGGTTTGATGATGTCACAACCAGAGGTTTAGTCAGGTTTAATTAAAAACGATACATGTTAGTGAGTGCTTTGTCATTACCTTAATTTAATAATTTTGGCAATTATAATAAGATTAATTAATTAGTTTTATTATAAGATTTAGTTTATTTTGGTTTCTCGGGTTATGCCATGGCGTATGTACCTGGTTGCCATGCTTACATTACATTCACCCAGCCTTAGCTAGGAATGTTTGATAGTCCAGTAATTACGTGCTGTAAATTACCTTTAGCTAGAAAATTTTGCGGAAGTTTTGATATTCTGGTAATTTTACGTATTTTGAGCTTCTCATTTCAAATTTTTCATTTGCCACCTCATATCTTTGCTGCCGGCGCCTCCATATTATAATAAATTGGAAAAAATAAATTTTTTAAGATGTCTTTGTTGCTTTTACAGCAAAAAGTAGTTATGTACAAATTAACGACCATGAAATTAGCTAAGAAATAGGTTATAACCATTTTTTTCATAAAACCGTTTTGGATAGGAGACTAACAGAGATCACCATTTAACATACAGTGAAAAGTAATACCCATTTCCTCACCACCATGAGGTATTAGAGTAATGGCGCATTTTTTTCTGTGGTTTCCTAAGTAGGCCTAATCTACACATTAATTGATAAATGAAAATTACAATAACTTCTTTCGCTTTGATACCCCTGAGGGAGCAGCTTTTTCGATGTTTTTGATAGTTGAAAGCAACGAAGTCTCAGAGTTGTGTGGGAACAATTCTTCTGGTGCAGTAGCTTCTTCTTTACTTTCTGTATCGGTTTCATTACACAGTGGTTCTAAAATCGTATCAGTATCTTCATCATCATCACTATCTTCCAATGCTTTCCTACATCCACATCCACATTAGTTAAAAGAAGAGCTGCTGGAGCAGGGGCTTGGAGTGTAATCATAGCGACAAGACCATTTTTGTCTTTCTTCCATCCCCATTGATCTGACAATATGTTCGAAACGAATGTTTTCTTGCTAGTGTTTCTGTAGGAGGCATTGAAGTGACGTTAAATTTTTTTTATGAAGCATTGATACCTATAAGTGTTCAGAGGTATGAATTCCTTTTTATTATAGCCGTAAAGTCTGAGAAGAAAGTATTCTCCAGCTTTAGCTACACTTTTTCTTTAAATACTTTTATAACTTCGTGGGTGGTGAGTGGTGGGGAGGGCGAGGTCAATGGTCAACTGTTGCATCCGAGCGGTAGGCTTAACACGTTAAATGCGTGTTGTTTTACACGTTACGTACTTGGTAAACTTTGTAATTCTCGTACATGAAAACGGTTAGTTTTATGAAAAAATTATAGAAACCCATTTAGTAGAGAAAATTGTGTAGTTTAATTTATTAAAGAATCATTTTTGTTGTAAAATCAATCACACCACTCTTCACTATCAACATTTACATCCTTTTAAAACGTACAGCTCTTACTTAATTTCAAAAGATTTTCTCTATCTGGAAGTCGTAATTTCAATGTACCTTGAATATATGTAGAAAATAACTATCGCAGTGACATGTTCACCATGTAGCAGAGCTTGCCTTATAATAATTTACCTTTACTGATCTACATATTATATCTGTATGTGTCTTTATAATCTTGGTGGTAATGCTGCACCGAATCGTTTTGTTTTCTAGAACCTGACTCACCAGTTGAGGGCGACGGAATTGGAATTAACAACTGCCAAAAACAATTGGCTGAGCAAGACGTTAAGTTCCATCAAAGAAGTGGCGAATAAGAAAGATTTTCCAAACTTTTCCATTACCCAGTCGAACATTCCGAACACCACACCCAGTTTTATATCCCACATAAACGCGGTTAGGAGAGACAGCGTGCCATTGAAACATGACAAGTTCAAGCCTAACGAGGCGAGGAGGGAGTCCGCTCCCATCATGAAGGATTCCCAGAGCTGCAGCAGCCTGAAGACCCAAAACTGATCTTTGCTTCACTTTTTTCGTTGAAGACCTTTTATTTATTATTTTTCACCTCCGTTTGACGAGATTGATATTACTTTTTACCTTTTATTCGAGAATTTGATATTATTTTTAGATATTGTACGCAGTATTTGTATTTTATTTTTTGTTAAACTGGATTTTTATTCGTTTACTGACATTTCTAATAAACGTAACTTGTAGTAAATGCGCATAAAGGTGAGTATATTGTATATACGTTTTCGATGCCCGTTTGCTTGGCCATCGGCTCGTTTAATGTTGACAACAACCCTTCGCCATTGATGTAACAGAAGAAGACTCGAATGCTACGCAAATAAACCAAACATGATCATACGTGTGCGATTTCATCTTGTGTAAAAACTCTTAGCCATATTTTAGTGATAATAGTTGTGATAGCTAACTTGTGTTTTAAGTCGTTTACTGTATAATTGGTACCACCGAAAAATATTATGCACCCATTTTTAATAAAAAAAATTAAAACCTGAATGCTTTGTTCGCAATGAAGTAACCCCTTCTCGAACACCATTTTATTAAGGTTACAAAAATATGGGAACGTAAATATTGTAAAGTGTAAGTTGAGTGATTAGTCACAGCCGGAAAGTTGTTCGAAAGAATAAAAAGTTAAAATCTACTAGCAATTCCTCCTCCTCTGCTGTCAGAATGGGAACTTAACTCATCTTTAGTTTTCTCCACTATATTACTGCTGGGATAGGGTTCGGAGATTGGCTGGATGTCCGGGCTTAGAGTCTTCATATATTCGAGCACGTCTTCGCCAAACGCAGGTAAGTGGTCTAAAAATTAAATACACAGTGTATCACTTATTTGGAAAATTTTAACCAGATATGCATATTTAAATGAAAACTTGTTTTCTAAAAAAATATATGGTAAAAGTCCAAGAGAAAATGAGAAAAAAATTGTTATTGTTACAATAATTGAAAATTATAAGGTTGAAACTGGTAGGTATTAAAATAAAAACTGTTTAAAATATGTGACTAAATAAGGCTCAAAAGTGTCAGATGCTGTGATCAGAATACCAATGTAGGCTTTATCTCTATACTTAGTGACCTGAGTCGACCAAGTTTTGCCACCTACAGACTACCCATTAAGAAATAAGATTTTTGTGAATAGCAAACAAAATTATCAAAATGCCTAATTTGCCTAATCAATCGTGCGCTCCCACATTTTCGTGTAGAAGTCCGAAGATAAGGATAGATTGAAACGGAAGAGGTAGGCCACCAACTTGACTTTTGCAGTCCTTGAATCTAAATCCTCTAGAACTTTTTTTTGTGGAAATATTTAAAAAATTAAGTATTCTATACTGAAGTACAAAATATGGATGAATTATGGGAATAATAACATATCTACCCCTCATTCTAATCTCAAGGATTAGCCCAGAAGCCAGACTTGTGCGGTGGAAGGGGTGGCATATTATTATTCAGTAGGCTGTATGTCCGTCCAGGAATATATTATGTTGGTAAGCCCTTACCACACACACAAGACAAGTTCAAAATGTGTGGGATTGTTTACAAATGCTGACTGAACTGGCCACCAATAATACAGTTAGACTGTGGTGGGTGCCAAGGCACAAAGGCATTTGTAGGAACCAGAAAGCGGATGAACTTGCTAGGAAGGGCAACAAGACAGAGTTCATTGGCCCGGAGCCCTTCTGTGGTCAATGGACTGAAAGAGAACATAGGAAATACTGGACTTTAAGGCCAGGACATAGCCATTCTAAGGAGCTCATTGAGTATCCTTTGAAAGAAAGAGCAAACGATTTACTGAGCTTGAATAAAATCCGGCTCAGGAGAGTGATGGGACACTGTCACTTTAGGAAACATTTATATAAGCTAAAGCTTGTAGACAGTCCGGTCTGCTGAGGATGTGACCCGGCGGATGAAACTTCTTTGCATATCCTGGGCGAGTGCCCGGGATTTCCACGTAGTAGTATGACTCTCCTGAGGCGACCATATTTGGAACCCAAGGAACTGAGAGAAGTGTCAGCAAGGAAGCTTTCGGACTTTGCCAAAAGGACAAAACTACTTGCTGAATAGGACTAGTAGTGGGAGGCACAATAAGCCTAATTAAGCCACAGTGCCTAGAACCAACCACTAAAAAAGAAGAAGAGGAAGCCCTGACTACCATTCCCACCCAACGTTCTTCCGCCCTACCATACTCTCAGAGAGGGTGCCTAATTCCCCTCTACAAATATACCCGATCTACAGTCTTATGGCTGCAGAGATTGAACCCGCAACAGTGGTTGAATGGTTGAATGATTTCCGGGCCGGTGCCACGTCGTTGATTTACAACTTGACGTTTCGAGAAGTTACTCTGAAACTGGCATTCATTGATTCAAACATTGACAAATCCAACCATTCGACCACCAACCGACTATCATAACTCAATACTGTACTGTGTCTTCGAGATCAATAGGAGGGAGCTAGTGTAACAAAATTGGATTGGAGACCCAGACATGCCTGCAGGGCAAAACTTTGATCAGCTTCTGTAGAAAATAAATGGCATGTCTGAAACAGAAGAGCATGAACCTTTTTTCTAATTTTCAGTTATTGTAACTCTAATAATTTATATCTCGCTTCCTGTTGGACTTATATTATACTTTTTTTTTAAGAAATTGACTATTTAAATATGCATATATGGTTAAAGTTTTTTGATTAAATTTTGATACATTCTCTATAACATAACATGTCAAAAATGATGGAGCGTATTTCGTATTCCATATTTAAAAATATTTTCTTAGACATTTACCCTTGTAGCTTGTTTAATATATTTTTAATTTCCTTTTGACAAATGAACATGTTAAAACAAAATTTTATATGCACATTACATGCATAAGATGCTATTCACCATCTAAGCCAATGATATAAGTGTAAAGTACCTAGGATGACTTGTTTTTTCCAAGAAATAACGATATGCCACTAAAATAAAAATTGTCATTTTTTCAAAAACGAAACAAGTTATTTAAATAAATTTAAAATTACTTAAATGTTATTACAAAGTATGTTCAAAATGGCAACCCTGTAGTCTCAATACACTTTTTGGTTTAAGAAAAAACATTTTAAATTTTAAGGAAAATGTAACCAGTATATCTCATATTGATGTCATTGGTGTGAGTTGAGACTATTTTTTCATATTGAATGCTATTTCTTTAATATATTGTGTACTCAAAATTTCGTTTTATGTATTTATTTTATTGTTCCATGTACCCAAAAAAAAATTTTTACACACCTGATTCACAAATGATGACCAAAAATGAAACCCCATATTCTTTGTGAATTTTAAGAGGAGTCTTTCTTATAAAGTTTTTATCTGAACATTTGGATGCTTCATTAAAAAGATACAGGGTGTTAAACTTCAAAAAATATTTTTAATTTTTTTATTTAATTTAAAAACTAGTAAGTGAAATAATTTGAAATTGGGCACATGTATTTATGTAAACGTTGTCCAAAATCCGAGGGCTTTTCCTAAAATTTACATGCTCCAGTGGCGGAGATACAGGGTATCGGTAGAATATTTTTCTAAATAAAATAGTACGCCACTACTTTACAGTAACAACCATGATATTTTCGGATTCGTCTCAATTTTCTACAAATTACTATTCTCTTCTGTTTTTGAAAAAAGCCTAATTTTCGAGTAAGGGGTCATCCATAAATTATGTCACACGTAAATGGGGAGGGAGGGTATCACCGAAATGTGACAATGTGTGACAAGGGGCAGGGGGGTCGAAAGTTTTGTGACGTCGCATGTTAAAATTTAAAATACTAAACTGCGAAATTTAGATGTGGATAAAAAACTATAAAAATCTACAAACTTGATCTATATTTATTAATAATTTAGCATTCTCGCTATGAGATTATCTCTCATGCAACATTAAAAAATGAAAATAGCTGTTTTCTCTCGATTATTTTTAAATACATGCCTAAATTTAAAAAATGTGTGCCGTCACATCAGGAGGGGGGGATTATAAAAATGTGACAACCTGTGACAAGGACGGGGGAGGGGTTCAAAAGTCCTAAAATTCGTGTGACGTAATTTATGGATGGGATCTAAATTTTAGAAAAAGGATACAGATTTGGACAATACATAAATACGTGTGCCCAATTTCAAACTATTTCACTTACTAGTTTTTAAATTATTTAAAAAAATTAAAAATATTTTTTGAAGTTCAACACCCTGTATCTTTTTAACGAAGCATCCTAGATAAAAACTTTATAGGAAAGACTCTCCTTAAAATTCACCAAAAATACGAGGGTCCATTTTTGGTCACCATTTGTCAATCACCCTGTATATTTGGCTCCATTAATAATTCAATAACTCTACAGGGTGTTCCACCTAGCAGATATTCTTCTGTAACTCTGCAACTGTAAAATTTATAAAAAAATGGTTTTAATAAAAGTTGCCTGGAATCATGTGGGCCATGTAAAGAATATATGTATCTTTACAGGGTGTTCCATTTCGCGTGGGCGTAGCATAACTGTTATTTTAAATGGAACACCCTGTATATTATTGCATATTTTAATTCTTCCTTGGTTAACATTAGGTTAATATAGTTTATTAAATGTACATAGTGTTTAAAACTTACTGTTTTCGAGATATTCAGTTATTTTTGAAAAAAATCACGATTTCAACTCTCTAAATGAGGCTAGATAGCATCTAAACCGTAAGGGTTAGAAACCTGCAGTTTTCACAGTTCGTTTTGGCATAAATTACCCTATCTTGTAATCCGAGAGCAAAACGTGCACCTTATTCAGACTCGGAAATACTGAGACCTACCTACATTTAATAATCTTACGAGTTGAAAAACTTTTTTTTTCAAATGGAATGACCTATATTAATTGTCATGGGTGAATGCAAAATTGAATGCCCTTTTGACTGATAGAAGGTTGTCCATATTTATCGCTAACAGTTTTCCAGAAAAATCAGGTTCTTTTGTAAAGTCCGAAAAAGTAGCTTGGTAACAGTGTCAAGAAGGCCTTGCAATTGTATTAGTACAACGTCGATACATAAGATTTTACAAAAGCAAGAGCAAGAGTTTTGCTCACAGATGTAGAGCAATTTATGCCAAAACGAACTGTGAAAACTGCATTGTTCTAACTCTTACGGTTTAGACGGTATCTAGCCTCATTTAGAGAGTTGAAATTGTGATTTTTTTCAAAAACAACTGATTATCTCAAAAACGGTAAGTTTTAAATACCATGTACATTTAATAAACTCTACCTAATACTAACCAAAGAATTCAAAAACGCAATAATATACAGAGTGTTCCATTTAAAATAACAAAGTTATGTAGCGCCCACGCGAAATGGAACACCCTGTAAAGCTGAAAATATTTTCATTACATGTCCCACATGATTCCAGGCAACTTTTATTAAAACCATTTTTTTAATAAATTTTACAGTTACAGAGTTACAGAAGAATCCCTCTTAGGTGGAACACCTAATAATTACTACACTATTGTAATAAAATCAATTTGATTTGTAAATACCATGCCATTGAACCATGTAATATGTGACTGATATTGACTATAAAAGGCACAAAGTAATATTGGTTTATTGACAGTATTAAATGTTTTTAGAGTTTCTTTGATAATTTAAATTTAAATGTATACATATGTATTCCAACAACTTAGAATCTAAATAATAGAAATTTAAGATTTGTCATATCGTAATTACATTTCTTTAGACTAACGATACTATTTAATGTCTAGTTCATGTTTAGACCTAGATAGTTGGCAACAAACCGTGTTAGAGCTTTGGACACTAATTCCAACAAGGATTTTTTCACATAAATATATTATAATTACCTTCTACACCAATTGTCTCATTACCCAGAATGTGAAATCTAGGCGATTCTATACCTTCCGTGACATTCTTTTCAGCTATTAGCAATGTCGCCACTAACTGGGTCGCTGTAGCAAAATTATTAGCCCCCAGCACCATACGCCTTCCACATATAAAGTTGCCGTCAGTTATAATAAGCGGTATTCTACTGCACGGTTTGTCTTTATTTGGTACATCTAAAACGTAGCCGTGAGTTGTCATTTCTCCAGAACCAAACAATCCGTACATCCCTCTAAAAAAAAAAAAAAAAAATACAAACAAAGTTAAATTTGTACACAAATTTTAACTATTTGAATTATGAGAAAAACGGTGCCAGAAACACTTACGTTACTAGTGAAACATAATAGTCATTCAGATCTACTACGGCCACGTTGGAAGAGGTGCCTTCATGAAATCTATCTTTAATATTTTGTTCTGCATATGTATTTTGTGTCATTTCTACTAATCTGTACACATACTCGGGCTTAATACTGTCTACTTTGGTAAAATTGAACTTTTCGATCTCTTTCAAGTTTGAAATAAGTGATGGTCCGATTAATGGCGCATTCGGAATGTATATGTCATAATTACTAAAGGTAAATTTCAGTGCTTGTGAAAGAACTGGTTGCTTTTGCTGAATGTACGTGTAGAGTTCTAAAAATTACATATTAATTTGTTCGTAAATGCAATACACGCTCATACTTACCGTCTTCTGCTATATTAGCAATTTTGTACAGACTTATACTCAGATTTTCATGTTTTAAGATTTGTCCAGCCTCTAATCTTCCATACAAATCCTCTGCTTTGGATTTCGTTACAGCTTCTACTAATAATTTCGATATTAAATACCCACGCCTATAAAAGGAAGTATAAATTTCCTACTTTCAGTACCAAATATTAAATATCGTACTCTGCGAGGTCAGCAGCAGGTTGGACCAAATCTTTCCAAGCTAAGCTCCCGTATTGCTGGTGAACGTATGCCAAACCCAACACTAGACGAGGAATATTTTCGGGCACTGTCAAAGAACCAGTAAAATCAATAACGTTAGGTGGAAGCCTTGTCCGATGGTTGTAAATCAGCAGCTGACCCTCTCTAATAAAAGTAAATAGATTTATTATCGAAACTTCAATTTTATTTCCATTTGAATACATACGCATCTAGACCTGTTACATGTGGAGTGGTTACAGCTAGGCAAAAGGCACTAGCGATGGCTGCATCCACTGCATTTCCGCCTTGCTTTAAAATTGACGTTCCTATTTTAGAACACTCTAAACTGTCGGTTGATACACTGCCGTGTGGGATAATCTGTAAAAAAGTCCTTACTATATCAAAATTATTGTGACGGTTATTTTAAATTATAAATGTCGCATCTTGCTAGTCACTAAATTAATAATTTTGTACTGAATTTGATTGACTGTCTTGTTAATGTAAATGCTATTGTTTTGAATTTCTGATTATTTGATTCCAATTTATGATTTTTTTTTTATTATTTGATGTTGGATGAATAATCTTCAAGAGCATCAATCCTTTGATATATTTTTAGGTCTTCGGCAAGTAAAAAGAAATTAAAATCTATTATCTTGGCAATATCATTAATAAATAACAATGACGGCAAGGGACCTATATTAGACCCCTGTGGAACTCCCCTGAATGTGTGATAAAATATTTAGATTTAAAACTATCCTGTCACAAACTGCTATTGAACAAATAATATTTGAAAACCAAGTAGAGTAAAACAGTGGCGGAAAATTTAAACTTTCCTATTGTGATAATGAAACATGGGTCCCATACCACTTTTTAAGAAATGATTTCTAAGTCATGATAAAAAAATTTTCAACATTTACTAAACAAAAATCATAGTCAACTGATGGATACAAACAGGTGTTTTATTTTTCACAAATTTCATTTTTCTTAAAAGTTATAAAGTTTAAAAAATTAAATGTTAATGTCAAATTAAAATGTAAATAGTAAATAAAACTACATTTAATTTCTTGAATATTAAAGAAAAAATACTTGACTTTATCTATCAGCTAATTATGATACAAAATATTTTGAATCACGGGAGGTTATCCTTATTTCAATTTTTTTTGTTTCATAAATTTCGTTTGGAATTTTTTCATGGTAGTTGTCTATGGGAGACCTAGAGATCATATAAAAAAATGGCATGGCGCACTGTTAAAGTAATTTAGATCAAAATACATATTGGGCTACTCAGTACAAATCTTTTTAAAATGTGTAAGAATTAATTAATAGCATAGAAATACGGATTTTGCACCAAACCGATTGTTCTCGTTTGCCTCAAAATGGCGGTTTGACATATGTCAACTTCTATTTATATATATATATATAAAAAAAACGTTAAAATTTAGTTATAGTATTGTAGAAATTGATGTAATAAACTGTTTAAAATATGTGAAAATTAACTAATTGCATAAAAATGTATCGAATATTTAAACATATTTTAAGGTTGGCAATAGATTTTTCTCCAAAATAACAGTTGATTGTAACTTTATTAACATCTAGGAACTTCTCGTTAGAGTCCCACTTGCTGTAGTAACTCACAAATTTAGCATTAAAAATAAATTAATTAAATTGGTATTGGCCATCTGGCAGTAGGTAAGAGTTTAAAATTGAATATAAATTATTTAAAGTTGGTATGAGCCATCTAGTGGTTTTAATTAGTACGACCGTTGTGGCGCGAACTGTGAAGTATGCGCGTTAAATAGTTGTTTTCAAATTTAGGGGTACAAAATAACTTCATTACTAATGTTAAGATTTCCAATTTTTATAAGAAATGATTGAAAATGAAGATATCAGAATTGTATTTTCACTTTTTAAAATACATATTAGCATAAAAATATGTACATACATTCATTCAATATGGTTAAAAAAGTACACCTACCTGGTAATCCCCATAATAAATTTGCAGCAAAAGGGCAACAGTAATGACGCATGTTAAAGAACCAAAAGCAACAATAACAAACCTAAAACCGCTGAAAGAGTCCTCATTGCAACTGTACCAATTTCTTAATTTTTTGCCTTTTTTCAAAGGAATATCTTCCCTAGTTTCTGTTACTGTAATTTGATATTAATGATTAATACGTACCGTAAATAATAAATAATTTAAACGAGTATATTATTTGCATTATAGACTCTAGATCATAAAATATTTACCAGATTCCTCAACAGTTGTCATTTTAAAATAAAAATTTGGAAATTATTGAGCTTTAATTCCACACAACATAGGTATAAGTGCCTACATTTTACATCTGTAAATAAAATATAACTGTACCTCCTACAGTTACTTTCACATTTCTTACTGCTGTGCCGTGAGTTTGAACTAAGTTACTTATTTCGATGACTCAAGCAAGGCTAGTCATTAAGTCGAACTCAGTGGCGGAGTGGCACTGGCAGTATTTCTTAATGGGATTATGTACTGTCCAATTCTACTAACACATTCAAATTATTTCTCATATTTATTTTATAATTTGAGAATGTTTTTATGCCTTCAGAGGCAGAGGCAGAACATGTTACAATAGAATTAATAAAAATGGAAAAGAAGAAACCCATACCATACCGGATATATGAAGGAGCCAATATAAATATAGTCTACGTATTTTTGTAATTTTTCGGATGGTTTATTGAAACATTATTTCCTTAAAAAAAGTCTAGACGCGCGACATATATGTATATATCTTGATGCAGTCGTGCTCTGTCACGACTCCTTCTTGAGAGCTTCTCGTCGAAGATGTCGTCTCACTAGTTTTTTTTCTGCGTACGACCTATGTTAAAGGACGTTTCTGTCCATTTTTTCAAAATTCTTACTGTTGCGCTGGTGGTTTAAACTGACTTATTTCGATGACTCTAGCAAGACAAGTTAAGTCAAACTTACAGGCGGTTAGCAGCTTTTCTTATTAGGTTTGTGTACATTTTTTTCACCTCTGGTTTACTGATATAAATATTTCAATCAACGTTAGCATATTCAAATTTTCACTAGTTTTCATACAAACTTACAATTTCAGAATGTTTTCGTGTCTTCAGATATTGATATATCTAGAAGCTCAGTAAATTCCAAATATATTTGAAACTATTTTATTTCTAACATGTTACAATAAAATTTATAAAAACGGAAAAGAACAAACCTAAATATGGGATATATTGAGGTGCAAATATAGTCTACGTATTTTTGTAATTTTTCGGGTGGTTTACTAAAACATTCTTTCCCTAAAAAAAAGTCCAGACGCGCGACATGTAAATATCTTTTTGTAACATTTTGAAATTAACTAAAACACTTTAAATCATAAAATAACGAATACTAAAAAATTCAACTAAACATTGAATTTAACGTAAAATATTAATCTTGCACTACTATTCCCTTCTTGCTATTGGCTTTGTGAGCTTGGAGAACAGCAATGGCCTCTTCGACCTTGGCCCTCAAGGTGTCCTGGTTGTCCATCATGTTGAGCAGTTCGGAGTTGTCGATTTCCAGCAACATCCCCGTGACTTTCCCCGCCACGTCAGGGTACATTTTTTCCACGACCCGAAAAAGCTTCTCCCCCAAGATTTGCTTCTGTTCCTGGGGCGCCGCTCCCGCCAAAGTGTTTGCGTTCAGGGGTATATCTCCCCCGTTCCCGATACTGCTCATGTTTATAGGTCTCAGAATGTTATTGGTGGAGCTGGTGTATTTACTGTTGGGTCTAGACGGTGGCGTCTGCTGTCCAGTGATGGGCCGTGCGTGCATCGAGTTTCTCACGTTGTTCACCTGGATAGAAGACCTAGAGGTGGCTCGATACGGCGAGTTCAGCATCGACAAGCTGTAAGTGCCGTTGGGGCGGATGGCGTTGGGCGTCGGCCAGCGAGGCGTGGGCCTTATGTGGTTCAAGGGGTTCAGGTGGTTGAAAAACCTCGGGCCCTGCGCCACTGCGGGTATAAGGAAGGGAGGTGTCGTAGTGGGGAAGTTGATACTGTTCTGGTGCCTCATCGCCTGCGCTCTCTGCATGTACTGGCTGTTCAAGAATGCGCGGCGGTCTTCCTTCCTCTGGGCCAAGGCCACGTAAAGGGGCTTACTTCCCACCATTCTCCCGTTCATTTCGGTGACGGCTTTAGTAGCTTCCTCCGGGGAAGTGTAGCACACGAAACCGAAGCCCTTGCTGCGGCCGTTCTCCGTCATAACCTTGGCCGAGGTGATTGTTCCATACGAGGAGAACTCCTTCCTGAGTTTCTCGTCGTCGAAAGTGTCGTCCAGGTTCTTTACGTAGAGGTTGACCCCCTGGAAGCGGCTGTAGCGTTCGATCCTTAGCTGTTCGTAGCGCTTCTTCAGTTCGTTGATCCTCTCGGTTTTTTTCTGTGCGCGGCCTACGTAAAGGATGTTAGTATCCATTTCTTTCCCGTTCACTTCCTCGACGGCTTTTTCCGCGGACTTTGCCTCCTCGAAAGCTACGAAACCGAATCCTTTGGACGTGCCGTCGATTTGACGCATCACCACGCTGCTGGTTATCTTTCCAAACTTGCTGAACAGTTCATAGAACTTTTCGTCTGACATGTTGGAACCGAAGTTTTTCACGTAAATGTTTGTGAATTGCTTCGCTTTCTCGCCCAATTCTTTCTCACGTTCCATTCTAGGAATAAACTTTCCAACATAAACTTTCTTGTCGTTCAAAAGCATCCCGTTTACCTTTTCTATAGCCTTATTCGCAGCTTCTTCGCTTTCAAAGTGGACGAATCCATATCCTTTGGAATAACCGGCTTCATCGAGGGCCACCTTGCAGCTTAAAATATTGCCAAACGCGGAAAAAGTGTCGTACATCGCTTTATTGTCGATATTCTTGTCTAAATTCTTGATAAATACGTTGCCAATTCCTGATTTTCTCAATGCGGGATCCCTCTGGCACCACATAATGCGGATAGGTTTCCCTTTGAGAAGATCGAAATTCATTGTATCCAAAGCTCTTTCAGCGTCCTGGGCTTGACTGAAATTGACGTAGCCGTATCCAAGGGACTGCTTTGTTCGTGTATCACGGCAAACTCTTAAAGACAGTACTTGCCCAGCAGTTGTAAATTTTTCATATAGCATAGCTTCTGTGACATCTGGATGAAGATCTCCAACATAAAGAGATCCTGTAGGAAACATCACTCCTTGGGGAAGATTCATTTTGTCCTTAAATTTATAACACAATTTAAATACAATTCGCCTTATTAATTAAAAATTAACAGAAAATACATATTTTTTCACGGAGTTTTTACAAAAAATTCTTGTTTACGTACACTTGACGACGAGAAGACAAAATTTTCATAGCTTGCTGTAAGTGCGCGTTTAGACAAGCCCGCGATTTAAATTAAATTGGCCAATGAAAACTAACATGTTGTGATTGGCTTAAACAGTTCTAATCAATATGTGTTGCACGGTTGCATACCTTTCGCTTTCAATTGCCAAGAGATTACTTGTGCTGCTTCAAGCTCTCATCAATTAGCGCTGCTAGAGCTTCTTTGCTTCTTTTTGGTTCCGACATAGAACAGTTCTAAGACGGTTCAAATTAGTTGATCATTCATTCATAAGAACATCTAAGCCAAGACCTTAGAGCATATACTACTGGAGGCAGCGTATCAGTGGCGAGAGTGCGGAGGTTTAGAGAGAGATATAGGAGGGTATTTGCTATCTCTCTCTAGCGGCATCCGATTGCATGTTGCTGGAGAGAGATAGCAAATACACTCCTATACCTTTCTCTCTCTCTAAACCGCTACACTCTTGGCCACTGGGACGCTGCCTCCAGTAGTATATGAGTATATGCTTTAAGGCCAAGACTTTTAGCGATTTCCATTGGGGAAAATTGGGGCTGTACTCGGGCAGCACTGACACTCCACTGGTTGTATGAGAAATATGCTCTGGTGCAATCTCAATGGAATGACAATTTTTGCGTGGGTTTCTGACATTATAGGTTATGTTTATGTTTTGATTTTTATTCAGTCAAAGTAACAGTTGACCAATTGAAGTTTTTCAAAGAAGGTAGTTACAATGAACAAGAATTAAATTTGAAATTTAAAGTAAACGACGAGGAAGTTACGTTGTGTATTCCTCACATACTTCTATCCTATACTGATTATTACCTATAGTTTCAATGGATGACCTTGTTTCCAAAAAGTGGGGGTGAGACGTACTCCGTGTGCTTTGCGCATGCTCCATAATTAGGCGCGGTTGCAATGTGGGTTGCATTCAAATTCAAAAGATTGTCACGGCATGCTCTGTACTATAGCCGATTATATATGTACATATAAAATGTTATTAAATATATTTTCACTGAGTTCACTCCAATTTCTGAATGTTTACTTTTCTACTGAGTCCTCTATAGAATAGGCTCCATGTTCAATACATTATTTTACTATTTATTAATTTCAATAACGTATTGCATAGCAGTATTTAATATTTTGTAGCCTTAAATAAAAGTAATAAAACAGAATACAAATTTATATGCTTTTAAAACTGTGTACATAGGCTATGTTCGTAATTTTGGACATTTTTTAAATAACATTGGCGTATTTATTAAACAAAAAATCGTCACTATTCGCTTTATACAGCACAACTGAATTATTTTGTTTCATAAAAAAAAAGTTTATTACATAATTATTTATTGTAGTGGTTTCTGCAGTTTATTCGATAATATAAAAAAATGGTATAAAATATCTATAGGAGACCAATCCGATAATGATGTCCACTATTCTAGGAAGGCTCTTATCGAGTAAAATTTTGAAACATTTTTACTGAGTATCAACACAAGATGAATTAATAGAAGAGTTAGTGAAGGTTTAAACAGATTATGAAAAAAAACTCAAGATACACTTATTTATTTATTTATTTATTAAAATATACACTATACCATAAAAGTTTTTAATATTTAGCTATTTACAAATATAGTGTTCTAAGAATAAATATATTGTATTACTTCAATAAACATTTAGTAGGAAAAGATAAAGTACTATTAAGTCATCTGAAAAATATGAGGTCCTAGGTTATGCCATCGTATGATGTTTTAAATATTTGTAAGGCGATTGAAATACTTATTAGGCAAACTTCTTAAAAAATAGTAGCGAATATTTTATACAATATTTATTGGGCTTAAAAGATTCAAGTGGAACCAGAATCATTGACAGCAATAGAAAAACTGGGTTCCTTGGTTTTATAATATGTTTGTGTAACATGTTTCCACTTTACAATGACTTGAAAAAGCACAATTTAAAATATCTACTGACTTTTAAATTGAGTCAGGACCATATCGAGACATTCTTTGGGGCAATAAGAAGTAGGGGTGGCTTTAATAATAGCCCGAACACCATTCAATTTGAGGCGGCGTATAAAAGGCTCCTTGTACAAAATGAGGTGCGTGCCTCTCAAGATGGCAGTTGCCAGTTGGACCATGTTCCGATTTTAAATTACTACTCAAATAAAATAACAGATCCGCTTTGTGAGACAAATGAAAATGTAGCAACAGATGACAACGCCTTATTTGACCATGATTATGTAAAAACGTTATACGAACTCTCTCCTTACGTAGAAGATGTCACTTCATATATAGCAGGATTTATTTCCTCGCGAATTTTAAAAAAAATTACATGTGAAATATGTAGAAAACATTTAGTAGGAAAAGATAAAGTACTATTGACTCATCTGAAAAATAGGGGGTCTTACGTTATGCCATCGTATGATGTTATAAAGATTTGTAAGGCGATTGAAATACTTATTAGGCAATTTTTTAATCCTGTACCGAAGTTGACCTTGAACATATCGGGACTGGTAGAGAGCTCTCTTAGCACGTCTTGGTGTTGCTACATCTGGGCTTGATCTTCCGATTCTCTGATTTTTTCTAGGGGTAGAAACAATAACATCTTCACCTGACAATGGATCACTTTCTAAGGCAGAAGTTGAGGGTAATTCAGTAAACTTAGGTTGAGATGATGCAATCCTTTCCATTGATTCGTTCTTTGTCATCCGATCCATCTTAAGTTTTTTTGAAGGGACTTCACTAAATTCATCGCTCTCGTTTTTTTTTTCCACTGCTGTAATAAAAAGCATGTTTAATTTAAACTGAATATAAAATTTAGAAGAATTTAGACAGAAGTGTAATTTGTTTTCAAATAATGTCGAAAAAAGTAAAAGATTTTATGAAAATTCGTTTTTTTCTCTGATATTTCTGAAAGTTTTCAGAATTTTACAAAGTTCAACATAGCATCTTGACAACTATCAGATTGCGCAACTTTGCCATAATTTAACTAATCTAGCTTGTATCTCTTATTGTTTCCAAGATCGCAATGAGGCTCGAAAATCAGCCACCCTGTACATAAATGTAGGAAATAAATAAGTTACAAAAACTGTGTTCCATTGACATATTAGGTACTTTATTCCTATTTTTTAGATTAAAAAGTAACTTTGTGATGCAAAAACATTCAGGGGTAATTTCTCGTTGAAAATTAAGAAACGTTTTTCGCAGGGATCTGTAGAATTCTTCATATGAAAAACTCCTATTAATTTTCATTGAGGAGTAATGCCCTGAATTTTATTACATTTATTTAGAACCTGCATAAATGTATGTGGTATTCCTGTAGACGAAACGGATCACTTATGGTTGGTTTATAAAAAAGTATTAATCCTAACTTAGCCGTAACTCAACCTTAATCTTAGTCCTAAAAATTTAAATGTACAAAATGTAATGTATAGAACTAGGGCAAGGTTAAGATTTTTATAAACCGATACATGAATCCTTCTACTTTTGGCAGTTGTTTGCGTATAACTAGTATAACATACATTTCATCATCATCACTACTACTACTTGATAAAAACGATAATAATGGAGCAACAACTTTGTCCATATTTACCGCCATTTTTTCTTGTACTGACCGGCACCAGCTCCAGGACCTCGTGCGAAATAATATGCACTCAGAGCAAGAACTGTTGCTCTAGTTTTCCAATGGAATTTGAAAATTTGCACCGACTTGACCAATGGAACGTCAATGGTGCACTCAGTGTGCACCAGTTTTCTCAATGGAAATCGATAATACTCACAATAGTCACAATACACTTGAGTAATTATTTGAAGTTTTAGACTTATTTCCACTTTTGCACTCAGTGCTCAATAAGTATATCTTCGTCCTGTGTTATCATCTCGAATAATGAAGGATGGAAATATCCTCAAAGTGTACTGACTGGATTTAAGTTCATTCTCTAGCAACATCCAATCAAATTATCCAGAAGTGTATGAATAATATAAATATTAATTTTAATATTAAAAATAAGAGAGTCCATCTTTCCCTCAGTTGTCACCAGAGCAGATAGATCTCGGATCACTTAACAGGAATGCACTTCATGAATATTGTGTGTGATTGAGGTTATGTGAGATTATGTGAGGTGAGGTTATTAGGTTATACTTGAAAAAGTAAACATGGGAAATAAAAGAAAACTGAAATCTTCCAAAGACGATGAGTTTGAATTCGACCCAGTTCCTAAACATTTAGTTGTAGCTCATTTAAAAGACAAAGAAAAACGTCTAATAATTATATTGGAAGGGGCTCAACTGGAAACTGTTAAGGTACAAATATCAGCCTCATATTTTTATTACCTTTATAGTTTAAAATATTTGTAGGTAGGAAACAAATTCGAGTTACTAAATTGTGATGATCATACTCATATTTTAAAAAGCAACAATCGTGATGTTGGATCCTGCCGTCCCGATATTACTCATCAATGCCTTCTGATGTTATTTGACAGTCCATTGAATAGAGCTGGCTTATTACAAGTTTATGTACACACTGCTAATAATGTTCTTATTGAAATTAATCCCCAAACTAGAATACCCAGAACATTTAAACGTTTCGCCGGACTAATAGGTAAGCATATAAATTTAATGTTACATTTTTAAATGATAAACATACTTTTTTTTTTAGTACAACTATTGCACAAGTATTCAATACGAGCTGAAAATGGACCTAAATTATTGAAAGTAATAAAGAATCCGATCACTGACCATCTTCCTGTGGGTATAAAAAAAATAGCTATGTCGTTTTCATCAAAGGTAGTTCAGAATTGTCGAGAATTGGTTCCTAAAACAGAAGAACCAATTGCAGTGGTGATAGGAGCTATGGCTAGAGGAAGTGTAAATATTGATTACACCGAAGAAACCATTTCCATTAGTAATTATCCTTTGTCCGCTGCTTTGACTTGCACAAAACTTTGTTCGGCTTTTGAAGAAACATGGAATGTTATCTAATCTTATTTATTGTCTTTTTTTTTTAATTCACACATAGGTGTAGGTACATCAATAGTCGCTTAAATGAAAATTGCCAAGGTATGTTTCACTGTTTGAAAAGAAAATAGATTGATTTTTTTAATAAAAAATATTGTTTACACAAGTACTGTTTATTTCATCTTTGATAGTGCAAAGCTAAATTTTTGGGACCTATTTAGCAGTGGGAAGTCTTTGAATGCATATGGTTTGAAATAGTTATCCAATGATATATAAAATTTATTTGGAACACCCAGTATAATGACACGATTAAGTAAGGGATTAGCAAGTAAAATTATGTATAAATGGTTTGCGGTACAGTCTATTTAATTTGCACCAGAAGCAAATGTTTATTAGTATATCTGATTTTTTTGAGAAAACTCGAAGTTATTTAAATTATTTTATTATGAAACTTTCCATTCTGTACTTCATCTACGTTTATTGAGTCTGCTCACAAGTAAATCACTGTAGGCCTGGCTATATAAAATCACTAGCATTCAGTTTCTGGAGAAAACACAAAAAAGGAATTCAAATTGCCCGCTATTTATTGATTTCAAGATAAAGAGGGCGCTTCTGTACAAAATTCCCCCTCTACTGGAAAAGTCGTCCGATATCTTTTCTCTTCCTCTTTTCTCTTTCGCGATTTGTGAAATTTACCTTTCGGAAAGAGAATAAGATTTCACCATGTTATGTAAATTTGCTTTTGTTGTAAAATATGAAAATTTAAGAGAATTCAAATTTTATATGATCTGCAAAATTTTTTTAAGCCAGAAAAAACAAAACACAAAACTAACTTAAGTCATTTTATTTTCCAAGAAATATTTAATAGAAAAAGAAATTAGGTGGTGTTTGTCTCTGATCACGGACTTGCAAGCGTATAACACAAAAGTATGTGGTAATGTAAAATTTGGATTTTTAGAATATTATGGTACTGGTAAATAACCCATGGAGAGGCCATTTATGTGACCTCAAACGGCTTACAATTATCCATATCTCCTGCCATCGCAAATAAACCTTTACATAGATCAGATATTTTTCGATGTTTACATCAAAAACCCTCTTAAAAATATAAATTTTACAGTATTTCTGCTATTTACGGTGCATTTTACTACAGATAATGACCCAGACGAATTTTCTCCGAACAGAAGGCTCCTCCTGCAAGGCGGCCATCACGACAGTATGTGCCAAGCTTGGCTAGCGGGTTTGTGGTAAGTGAAGTGTAGTGTTGTGTTCCTCCGTATTTTTCACGATTCTCATGTGGATTATTCCTTAAAATACACAGGTAATGTATTACTAACTCGTACAAATTTATATCTGTTGAAAAAGAACATTATTTTGTATTGGGAATAAAAGTAATCTCTTAAATAAGTGAAAATTAGACTGAGCTTCACTTCAAAGGCTAGAGTGTAGTGCCCGCCATGTTGTAAAACCACTGTAGAAACTAATTTCTCTTATTTAAATGGAGCTTTTTTATGAAATATAGCTTTTTTATAATATAATAATGTCCATATTTTTGTATAATTTAGGTTAATTGTTAGTTTTCCCGCGTATAACCGTCAAAGCCATAAATACTGAACAAGAAAAGGCGTCCGTTGTCTCAAACACTACTTTTCCCGAGAGCAGTTTAGCGCGGGACAGCCAAGGTCTTGTCTATAGAAGAACTTTTAATTTTGTAGTGAGAAGTGAGTTATACTTTCTTTAAAACTGCGAATTATTCACTTAAGAGACTGCAGAGCTTTGTAAACAGTTTTATGATAATAAAATACATACTGCCTATTTAATCAAGTTATTTCATTGATGTGCAATATTTGGATACGATTTATGAAGGTTAAGTTATAGTTGTGAGTTTTCATACAAAAGACTGGTTATAATAAGGGCAGATGTTGTGTTTTTATTAAAATAGAGGGTGTGGCAGGACTACAGTGCTAATAACTAATTTGTATATGTTAATACTATTGATAAATACACTATTCAATTACCTACTCTTCGATTAAATTTCTGCAAGGTGTTTGAATCATAGTTTTATTACGATGTAAACAAATGTATCTGTTAATGCTGTAAATTAAATGATAAACAATTTTGAGTCTGTTATTATAAATGCAAAACAAAATTTCTTGTTAATTGTTCCTTATTCCACTTGTGATATACCTAGCTCCATTACTAAAACATCATATACCAAAAAGAATAGTAAATGAAAAATTTTAGGATATGGGTTATATAACTGTCTCGATGATTTTCCAAGTTTGTTGACTTGAAACTGCGATTGATAATTTTTAGAAGTGATTAGAATAGTTTAATATGCATCAGAAAAGTTAAATTCTACATTGTGAAAAATAATTAAACATTTTGATATTTATTTAAAATTATTGCATACAATTTTTTTGCATTATATTGTGTAATAAATAATTACTATAATTGGATAGGATTAAGCTGACTACGAAATAATAGTTTATCACTGGTCAAATTATTGTACAAGATTCTGTAGTTGTTTACTTTGTTACTATGTTTAAATGTGGAAGTTGCAACTCTTGATATGTTTTCAAAAACTATACAATAAATGTATTCTTTACAACCACTTGTATAAGGAAATTATCATTTATATAAATCGGGGATGTTTCTATAACAAAATTTATTTAAAGAATTTAAAAAATATACATTTAATCTAATACTTTTCTAGGTATACCTAATTTTCTTTTTATTGAGAATTATTTGCTTATCTTTTTGGAAATATATTGTTTGCTGTAAAATTTAAATAAATGTATCTCGTAATAATCAAATACATATTCCATATTTTGTAATGTAATTTCTGGTATTTTACATTAAAATTCCAACATAAATTGTATATTTCTTTTATTTATATAATAATTTTCATTGCAGATGCAAACTACAATGTGTTTTCATTTTTAATACGATATCCCAAACAATGGGATATGAATTGTGTCTTCAAAAGTTTCCAACCAGCTGATTGATAGGCCCAGGTCTCATATTAATTTTATTAATTTGGTAAGGAATTTGAAATTGAAATAATTTTTGCATGTTATCGTTACAAGTTCATTACAATTTGATTTCATCACAATTATAATTTTATTTTGGAAAATTTTAAGATTGTTTTGTTTTTATGTAACTTTAAATATTAACATAGTAATAAAATACGCTTAATTTTAAAATAAATTTACTGCGGTTCTACTATGCATGGAATTCGAAATATATTTCCTATTCGATTTTGTGATCATTGCGATTACCATATCTAAATAAAAACTTAACATTAATAACGCTTCATTTCTGCACACGTTGATAACTATTTATTATTAAACCTTGATAAAATTCTTGAATGTCCAACATAAATGTGGCGAGTTGTGGAACTAGAATTGGACCATTTAAATTTGTAGTTATGCTAATTGAGATAGTTTTATATTGTAATTGCATTCTTAATGTGATTGTTACTCTTTGTTTTGTCACGGTTACTCTTATACTTTTTTTATTAACTGAAATATTGTATTAAAAATGTTTTTGTATAAATCCATTGCTCTCGTTTCAAAATAAATAAATTAACTGTTGTGATAAGGCTATGCTCCTGTTTATGATTTAATCATAATTCTTGCAATTTCCTGTAAATTTTAGATATAGCTCCAAAAAATATTCATAACTTTTATGAATACTTGGTATGTAATTAAATATGAATTTTAATATGTTCTATTTGTATTTCAAATTTATAATTTTTTGTTTGCAAATTTATAAATTACCATAAAAATTCTTATTTTAAATATTTCATTTTTGAACATAAAATTTGATAATTTGTTGAAAATTACATTTTTAGCACATATACACTGATCTGACTGTATTGGGGTATATATTTAATAATTCCGTAACCAAACACACAAAATATTGTTTGGTTCATATTAACGTTATAATTAATATGTTAAAACTTGTAGTAAAAAGCAAAGAAACGTCAAGTACCATATAAGGTTTAAAGTTAAAGTAATGCATTTATTCCAGGAAGGCAAAATGAATGAACCACCACCTCGTCATGAGCCTCGCATCGAGCCTGTCAATGGTATCGTCCAACCGCCGGTGCAACCACCAGCTGACAGGCCGGGTCGCGTCACCAATCAACTACAGTTTCTGCAGAAGACTGTCCTAAAGGCAGTATGGAAGCACCAGTTTGCTTGGCCCTTCCAACAGCCAGTTGATGCGAAGAAACTGAATTTGCCTGTAAGTACAATGAATTTACTTAATTAGGTATTGGGGCTTACTCAAATTAAACATTTTTTATTACTACTTGCAACGTAGACATCTTTTGTTAGTAAGTTAGTAAGTGCGAATTATGTGCATTAAATTTTAAATTCGTATTCCTATATTTTGCTGCAGAAGTTTAACAAACACGAATATATAAACAAAAGAGGCAGATTCACCAGAAAATATACTCTATCCATTATATTCTATTTGAAACAAATTTTGTTTTCACAGATATATAAAACTGATGATACAATACTTCAAAATATTTAAAAAAAATTGTACTAGTTTCATATATCTATACATGCAGTTCATAAAAATACGCCAGGGATGATTATTTTAAGCAAACAACTGCTGTTCTGAAAATCATGTTTTTAAAACTGGCTATTGGCGAAGTGTTTTCTGCATGTGGATAGGAAGCTTGACAGGTAGTTGATTAATCGTTTGTTTTGTAGTAACTAAGAACTTAATAACCCTATTTTTCAATAATTAGTTGTTAATGTTGTGAAAGACAACACAATTACGTGGCACCCATTGTGCATGTCGCTAATAAAAGTTATCTTAAAACGGGTCTGTGCTACCTGCGAAGGCAAGCACCAGTTCTGCTGCAAACAATCTGATGTCTTATGGTGACAAAAATACTACCCTCAGGTATTTGTATCTTTTTTGTGACTGTGTGATAAGAGCGTGTGCAAAGCTTCCCAATTATCCATAGATATTCGAATATGCTGATTCTTATATATATTTTTTTTGGGATTTTCTTGTGCACAAGCAGAAATAGCGAACATCTCGGACAGGGAAACTGTGGCATACTGTCCCAGAGGATAAAATATAAGTTCTCCTCTAGTTGTTTGCCACAGATATCCACATTTGAACCCTCTTAATCTTTGATCGTGAGTGGACCAGATGAGCCCATTCGACTTGAGTGTCAGTGTTGGCAAACCAAACCGCCTTATCCTCTATCTCTTCACCAAAATCTCTATTAAAAATGTAGGTAGGAGATATCCTATCGCTATTGGCTCCATGAGTTTTATCTCTTTCAATATTTCTTGAGGACAACTATGATCTTCAACGTGACCCTTTTCCCTCCACAGCCCCTAGTGTTTAAGTATATATATATATGAGACCCCCTCTTGCTGTTCCTTTAACGATGTGTGGTTTTGAAAATGACGGAAGAGACTCTAAGGTCTTCATGGGAGCTGTGTGTATTGCTATTGCATATGTAGCGCAGTGTGAAAGAGCCTGATCTCAGGTCTATAAAGCCACAAGGTACGATTATGCTCACATAATATGCCTCTTGCAGATCCAAAAGGACACCGTAGCCTTTTGTAATTACCTGTGGACTAATTTGTCATCGGGAAACGTCCAAAAATTTTAACATTAATGATTTATGAATGGTTTTATTGAAGATAGTCGGCTCTTTAAAGCCGATCTTCCGTTTTCTGTTCCAAACACGTCCTCTAGTATGTTTGGGGCCCTGTGAGTGAACTCAACAATAATTCCTGGCCATTCCCCTGAAAGGAGTATAACAAGGTCATCAAAGTAAGCCTACATGAATATTCTCACCTCATTGAGACCTCCTGGGAGTCTGTCGAAGACAAGGCATCACAGTAGTGGAGAAAATACTCCATTCTCTGTACATCTCCGTCCTAAGCCATTTTAACAGTGGTCTCGTCAAGGATAGTATCAATTTGGTGGTGACAACACCCTATCCACCTGACTACGGTGGAAGATAACTCACGTCCCTCTGCTGTGCTGCGGATGAAGTTATATGATGTGTTATCATATGCTCTAGCTATGCCCAAGAACTTTCTAGCTGATAGTATTTTCAATTTTATAAACTACAGAATGCCATTTCTGTAGATTTACCTGATTGATAGGTGTGCTCCTGAGTTGTGGATTGGCCATGTCACAAGTGCCCCTTCTTTTATATGCTGCTCTGTCTCTCCTGAAGTTTCCAGAAAGACGTTGGGCATATGGGTTTGGGGTGCTCTGCCTCATCATAAGAGATCTTAGTCATGAAGACCATTCGTGCGATTCTTCATGAGTTCAGGATGTCTTCTAGAGCTGAAGCTGCCAATAACAGATGATGAAATTGATGCATGATATATATATGACTCATATTATAGAAGAGTCGAGAAAGTAATAAATATTCCTGCACTTTTGAATGGAGGAAAATGTGTAAATTGTCCATTTGATTCTCTCATGTGTGACTATTTTAAAGGTGCTCTTCCAATCCGTAACCAAATTCTCTACCTGAAGAGATGCCTGGGATTGATAAGCATCATCTTTTAGGACGGAACTAGGTGGCCCAATTGCCTCAATGCTTCATTGACAGTACATATATATGTACCATCAGGAAATCATGGAGCATATATTTTGGATTCCCAGTTTTTTCATTATTTTCTAAATTTTAGAAGTAACCGGAAAGTTTTCAATACTTTCACAAAATTCTATCCAAGCCAGCCATTTGCTTTGCTGAACAAGGGTTTTGAACTGACATTGAGCCATTTTGAGAATTTAGCCTAGGATTTAATTATGCTTAGAGACTCAAGACTCTCTGAATTCTTCGAGCTCACTTAAACAGACAGCTCTGTTCATATGTAGAAGCTATTATCTGCCTTAAACGTTCTGTACTTTGTTCAACCGGGTGATTCGTATGACAGGTAGATCGAGCCCAAAATGAAATTTCTTTCACCTGATGTTGTCTAAAAGGCTACCAAATCCCTAGAATAGAGCTCATAAAAATTTGGCCTATGTACTACTAAGGCCCTTGATAGAGCCGCTCAAGATTCCTGTTTCATAACTGCCTCTCTGCAAGGTGCTGATTTATGATGGAAGTCGCAGCGTTGCAAGTTGATCTGTTTAATTTTTTTAACACACTTGTAAGCTGTGTGCCCATTGTGGTTTACATTTGAGGCCTATTCGAAGCCTGAAGGATCTGGTCCTCTGCCTCCTGAAAAGTAGCAGCTGCTTCAGTTGTCTGGCTCCAGGGCTACCAATTTTGCTTTTCGGGCTCCAGGACATTCTGGCGTAGCCGATAAAGTTAATCCTCTGCAGAGTTGCTTCAGAAGCCTCATCGGCCCCTAGAATAGTGCGGTTACATATGTGGGGTATCAGTATACCTTCCAGTTCGACAAGTAGTAATTTGTTAAAACTTGATAATTAGCCCTCCATTGGGAACGAGTTTGCAAATTTAATTTTAATTTGTTCTTAAAACCAATTAGCATTTTTTTCCAAGCTAGATTTAATCTGTAGTATGCAACTAAAAGATTCACGTCTTATAATTCTCTTGACAAAAGATTTGGCAAACTTGCATTTAATTTTCCATGTTATCAATGGTTTTCAAAATGTACCTGTAGATAGATGGATTTGAAAAAATAATAATACCCCGAAGAATTTTAATTTATGTATGAAATTATTTATTTATATTTGTAAATATTTATTACATGTATAAAATTCCTAAATTTTCGACAATACAACAAAAATTCATGTAAATTGGATAGAAAAGCTTTTATGTTTTTACACAAATGGAGTTTTATTATTATATTTCACACGGTAAATTGTAAGTATGATAATTTTTCATTCAGAATTTGTTAATTTCTTTTAACCTAATTCGAGGAAGCTAAGGTATCTTAGATTGGTACTTTAGTTTATTGAAAACTGTTTTTTTCTTTACATAATTCAATTGGAACTATTTAAGCATAACATAATTTATCTATTATGTATGGGAGATCAACCATGCCATGTTAAAAATGTAAAAAATAAAAAAGTTAAAAAATTATTTTTTTAAATGTTATGTCAAAGAAATATTGAAATATTTTCATAAAAATTCTTATGGTCATACTAAATACTATCTGTTCTGATATTCACTACCCGATGTTCAATTTTTTCATAATTTTCGAAGCTATTATACAAGTTGCTGCTTTAAAAATTACTCATAAATCAGGATATGTAACTTGACAAATTCATATGATGGTACTCACACATAAAATGAAATGGAAATATCTAAATTTGCAAAGATACGTCTGAGGGTTGCTTTCGGTGTGCAAACTCTCTCTCAAGGGTAAAATAAAAGTATTTTTATTGAAATCAAAGTTTGTGAGAAAGAAGTGTTGTCGGGGTGAGCGTTTGCTGGAGAATCGTCTTGGTGTGGGGTCGCTCGCAGAAGTATCTGGTCCTTGGCGCCAATCTGCCGTGGACCTTTTCTGGAACCCTGTTGCGTCCCGTCTGTTTTTTGTCCTTGCAACTATTAGACCAGTCAAGCTGGCGCTATTGACGTAATACTTAAAATGGGCCACTTGCACATGTGTGCCCACACGTCAAATATTCATATAAATTAGCGGCTCTTAACCTTTTGTTTACTGCGGACATCCTTTCAATATTTTTTTGTTGTTGTAAACCGCAATTACTTACTTAGATATAAGTCCCAGTTTAAATGGGTTTGAAATTTTTTATTCTACATTGCACATCAAATGTAAATTTTGGAAAGATAAACAATAAGATTCTGACATAAGAGAGTGCATTTTCTTAATTAGTTGTTATTTAGTGATTAAATGTTACTGAAAACTTCACAGAACCCTTGGGAGGAGATGACGGACTCTAGAGGTCTGCGGATCACAGGTTACGAACCACTGATGTAAATGAAGCAAGATTTCTGTGTTTTTACACAAACGAAGTTTTATATCTTGTTTCTGACTGCAATTTTAGTTTTTTTAGCAATTATTTTTCTTGATAACTGTTTTTTTAACTTCTGTAGCATATTCATATTTTTATTTCAATTGACCTGTGGCCTATAAGTGTATAACACTTTTTCTTCTATTTATATACTAGTCAATATTTAATTACCAAATGTATGTGTTTTGTAATTTCTTAGTGATATGTATCGGGAAATGGTTTTTATAACAAAACTGTCAACTGATTATTAAATAAAAAAAACAAAAGTCTTAAGTAGAAGAAACATTTCCTTTACAAAATATAAAATGTTTAAATTTTATACTTTTAGAAAGCACAAACTTCTTTTAATAATAATGTTAACTGATCATTGGCAATTTTTTTCCAAATGTTTCCAGGACTACCACAAAATAATAAATCAACCTATGGACCTGGGAACAATTAAGAAACGGCTAGATAACAACTATTATTACTCAGGCAAAGAATGCATCCAAGATTTCAACACCATGTTTACGAACTGTTATGTTTACAATAAACCCGGCGAGGATGTCGTTGTTATGGCGCAAACGTTAGAGAAAGTGTTCCTTACAAAAGTGGCGGACATGCCGAAGGAGGAGTTTCCTGTGGATCAGCCCGCCAAGGGGACGAAGGGTAAGAAGGGCCGAACCGCTGGCACTACCACCGGGACGGTGCCCAGTGCAGGCAGAGGCAGGCCTCCGGCAGCCGTTTCCTCCACTGTTGCTACCCCCGTGGCCACCACGACAGGTTAGTTGTGTTATTTAAAAAAATACTCTCACATTGTATGTCCCAAGATCTGAGTAGATAGATAGGTCAATTATGGGTTACTACAACTCCATTTTTCTTTTTATTATGGGACGTAATCAGCACTTTTGCTAAATGGACTAGTGTATGCTGCAAAAAGTGTATGTAGTCTAACAGTAAGATGAAAGAATAAAATAAATTAGTAAAAATACAAACATCACTGAAAAATTAGATGCACCACTAGACACTAGAAGCTACTTTATAAACATTAATAAATTCACTAATTACTGTAATTGGTTTTATTATAGCTTCAATGTTTGCATCGATATCCCACATTTGTTGGTTTTTTTCTTATTTCCATGTCGCCTTATTTACCTGATTAATTATTTTGTCCTATGTAAGTTTTTATAACGAGCGTTCAAATAAAAACGTGGTCAAGTTGGTTCTGAAAATTTGGACGTAGGGCGTAACGTATAGCAAATGAACTTAAACGTTATCTGTCAAAGCGCTATATCGCCGCTATCAATTTGAATATTTTCGTTTTAAAAAGCGTTTAAAATGGTGTTTTCTCAAGAACAAAAAGTGTTTATCATAGAGTCCTACTTTAGAAATGGACGCAAGATTGATGGAATATGGAAGTATTCTATTGAGGAATGTTTCATAGAATTTCAAAATCAATTTCCCGGCGTTGTTGAGTACAAAATTTTTCAAAGTGCAGTTCAGCGTTGTGTTAATGTTTTTCGTGAAACGGGCAGTGTAACAAGAAAAGAAGGAAGCGGCCGACCTAAAAAGCGGACTGAAGAATTAAAAGAAAATGTCCAACAAATAATGGAAAATGCGCCAAGAACTTCTGCACGTGTTTTATCACAAATGGTGGGAGTATCAGTCGGTACCTGCAACACAGTGTTAAAAAAAGATTTGCGTTTGTTCTCCTATCGTTTAACTTGTCAGCAAGAACTTCATGAAGTTGATTTTCCGCGACGGGCTGTATTTTGTGAATGGTTTTTAAACAACTACGGTGAACTTCATAATATCACTTTTTTTTCTGATGAAGCCTGGTTTCATTTAAGTGGTTCCGTAAACTCACAGAATATGAGAATGTGGTCTTCTGAAAAACCAGATAACTTTTTTGTCGAGGGCCCTCTACACGCTCAAAAAATTGGAGTTTGGTGTGCTCTCAATCGAAGGAGGATTTCTGGACCTATTTTTTTTAATTGTACTCTTACTGCGCAAAGGTATAGAGAAGAAATTATCGCTCCTTTTGTTAACCAGCTGGAAGAAAACGAAATTACAAACTTTTACTTTCAACAAGATGGCCCAAGGGCACATACGGCAGGCGAGACGATGAATATGTTGAGGGAAGTTGTCCAAAATCGACTAATAAGTCTCAATGCTGAACATGAATTTCCACCGAGGTCGTGATATTACGCCATGTGATTTCTTTTTGTGGCCTTACCTTAAAAACACTATTTTTGAACTGCCTATTCCTGATTTAAACCATCTGCAGGCTCGACTTATAGACAAGATTCGTGAAATTAACAATACCCCGAGCATCTTAGAAAATGTCTTTAATTCTTTGAGGAACAGGTGTGAAAAGTGCTTGGAACAAGGAGGGGGACACTTTCAGCAGCTGCTTTAATTTATTGTTATAACAAGGAGGGGGACACTTTCGTTATCACGATTATTCTTTAAAATAAAGTTATATAGTCATTAACGTTATTGAAACTGACAGCTGCTATACAGCTCGTTGAGAAATGAGGTTAAGTTGGTGGCTATAAGCTAGTCCCTACGTCCAATGTGTCAGAGCCAACTTTGACCACGTTTTTATTTGAATGCTCGATATTATCCATTTAATCCACTCTGTATTTCATATATTTGACTTTATTTTAGTTTTTACTTATTTTATACTGTTTTACAGCAGTTTACGAGTTTTATGAGAAATTCTCCCACGCTGGATTTCAAATTACCGTCATACTACTAGTTTGCGGTGTCTGCTACTGTTTTTCCATAAAAGTGCATGTTGCAACAAGAAAATCGCACTTGAGTAGATCCTGTTAGGATTCACTTTTTTTTCAGTTTTCTTCAACCCGACCCCCCTCCGAAACCGCCATAAAGTTTTGTCTGCCACTATTTTTCCCGGTTTATAAAAAATGGATACTTTGACTTACCGTTGGTTCCAGACGGTTAGGACTTTTTTCCCCAGATTTCCACCCCACCCCCTCCTCTAACTCAAAAATGGCCGTTCTGCCATATATATGTGGTATGAGAAAAAATGCTCGACATCGACTCAGGAGCTTATTTACCACACGGCAGAAAGTTAGGGTTTATGGATTTTTTGACGCATCATATCCTAGACTACTTGTAACAGTGAATATTTCAAGTATATGTAGGCTGAACATATCAGAACACTGCAAATTGAGCAGCACATTACAATGTGCAAAGAATACACAAAATTACTTTATCAGGTTTAGAAATAGTAAAAATTGAGGTTTAATTTTTAAATTTTTGTGACTTTTGCGGTTCACTCGCATTGGCACATTAGGTTAACCTCTGCCATTTGGGAAATAATCGAGTTAGGACGTGGCTTGCTAGATTCATCTCAGCGAAGGCGTCTGGTTATTGAGAAATAAACAGGGAGTATATTGATCTGAGAAAGCGGGAATTATTAGGGAAATTCTAATTTTTCATGTTTTTTTTGAATTCCAGTTGCAATCGTTTTTATATCTATCTGTATCGCATAATTGTTTTAACAGTTCTCAAATGTTGGTCAAATTTAGTTCTGGTATACAAAATTTACTCCGTAATACTGATGATGAAATGTTGAGCTGAAAATTTATGATGTTATATATTTAACGAGCTTTTTAACACTGACACAAATTTAGTTAACAACATAGAGATTACTTTAGAATTAAAAGAAGTATAATATTTGTTTTGTTTGTTTTTAAGGTTCCTCTGGTCTACCCCTAGGCACGCAAGCGCCGGCCACGGTACCCGGCAGCACGGCAACGACCACAATTGCGCCGGCGACCACCCACAGCTCTCTGCCCTCTCAGCCACTTGCGCCCTCCGCAAATTTCCACACACCGCCCCCCATCGTTAACTCCCTGGATTCGAATGTCACCCCTGTGCTGCCCAGTAACGTCGTACCGCCATCTCAGCCTACTAAGGTTGTCAGGAAAGGAGTTAAGAGAAAGGCAGACACGACCACTCCTACTGCCACCGCGTACGACTACGCCCCGCCGTTGGATTCCAAGTCGGCGAAGATATCCACCCGCAGGGAGTCGGGTAGGCAGATCAAGAAACCCGTGAGGCCTGAGCTGGATGGGCACGTGCAACAACCGGCCTCGCACAAGCCTAAAGAGAAACTATCGGAGTCCTTGAAAGCGTGCAATGAGATTTTAGCGGAATTGTTTTCGAAAAAGCATTCGGTAAGTGAAATGTTCATAGCATTTTCTTTTTTTGTAGTACAGTATAACCTAATAACGGACACCCATGGGAAATTCGAAATGATTTTATTACATACAGATTGTCAAAGCTTTTAAAAAACTTAATATTTGTGCAAATATTTCTTCGTTCAAACAGTGCAAAGGTATTGAAGAAAATATTTTTCTTGGGATAAATAATTTTTTTTTGAGTTAATGCCTTTGAAATAAAGTATTTTTTGTACATAATTTTATATACAGTGTCATAAAACACTAAAAACAAAAAAATTTGAGTAAATATTTAAATTTTTTAGAGACAATACTCATTAGAAAATTCAATGCTAATGTTTTTTTAACTTTTGATAATCAAATCTATATATATATATATTTTTTTTTTTTTTGAAATTCAATTCGGAATGAAGTGCACATTCAAATTTTGAAAATATTCAGTGGCGAGAAAATGTCTATTGGGTTTCTTATTGACACCATCTTCTCACCACTGGTTTACATAATTATATACAAATTCGATGACTTTTTACCTTATTTAATACTTTAAGCTTAATTTAATTAACTAAGTTACAGTCCGTATATTTGTTGAGATAGAATTCCAAGAAGAGATTCAGCCAATAAAGTTCTGTTATTGGAACTACTGTAACAATTTACCGTGGCAGGGACTTTCCTTGAAATATTCCGCTTTATTTTCAGAATGTTTATATACAGTGCATCCCAGAAATACGCAAAAAATTTGTATTTTATTTTGTTGTGTTTTCATAAAAACGCTAAAATACGTATAGGAATTGTCGTTTTGTCACGTTGCTTAAACCTTTTTTGCGCTATGTTTCATAAACCTATGACGTCATCGACATTTTTTTAAATAGCACTACCTCATTTTTAAGCAGAAATGGATAACCCTTTTGAAGGGAAATGCGTCAATATAGGGTTTGGCTTACTTTACTTTGACAGGTGCGAAAAAACCAACGATTGGAATGACATGGTTTAAAATAACAACAAAAGTAGGTATCACAAACTGATGCGAGAACAGTGCCACAGCAAAAAATGGGAATTTGTGGATCTTTTGTGTTTTGGTTGATTGTAGGATGTTTTTATGTATTGATAATGTTGGCGTTTTTGGCGATCGGACAAACGACAGTGTGTGGATTTTCAGTGAGAGCTAACATAACATTTTGCCTATCATTTTCCGTCACTGTCATTGGTCTTCCAGATCTAGACAAATTTCTAACATGTCCAGCGTCTTCAAATTTGCATACTAATCTGTATACTGTAGACGGAGATATTGGTTGTTCTGGATACTTGGCATTGACATACTTCATCATAACTACGGATCCTATCTCTGTATCCAACCATAATTAGGATTTCAATTCTTTCTTACTCACTTAAACACCATCGTAATGTAAAGTTATGGTATTTGTAACTGACGCAATGATATGCGGCACTATTGAATTGGCTAACTGTCTTCAAAACAATGCCTAGACGCTGTGATCAGGTGAACCTACCCAATCTACATTAAAACATGTACCTACAATCAACCAAAACACAAAACATCTACAAATTCCCATTTTTTGCTGTGGCTTTTTTTGCATCTGTCAAAGTAGGCCAAACTCTATATTGACGCATTTCCTTTCAAATGTGTTATCCATTTATGATTAAAAAATGAGGTGGTGCTATTTAAAAAAAAATGTTGATAAGGTCATAGGTTTATGAAACATAGTGCAAAAAAGGTTTCAGCAATGTGACTAAATGACAATTACTATTTACTAATTGACATGTTTTATCATTTTTGTGAAAACACAACACAAAATAAAATACAAATTTTTTGCATTACTTCTGGGATGCACTGTATAACCTAACCTAAAATAATTATACACGTTAAACACGATACTCTTCCACGATTCCCACAACTGGGAATTAAATTTCTTTGTATTCTTTTTCACCTTGATTGATGTGTTTTAATAAGAAATTACACTGAAAAAGCACAGGACGATACACTTAACGAAGAAACACTCCTTGGTAACTGCAAAACACAGTATGCATTGCAAGCTGCTACAGTGAACGCCATGCCGCCACTGTCTCTACCTTGAGTGTCGAATAGGTTTAATTAAAAAAAATTGGCGCAGGCGTCTTCTTGGAATTCTATCTCAACAATGATTGTGTTGACTGAAGATGTTTTTTGTAAATGTTAGATTTTTCAGAAACAAACATCCTTTAACTCAATAATAATTATAAAATAAAATCATCTTTTTTAAATTATAAATTGAAAACAAATCACATATATTGCTTTATTAAAATAAAAGGAAAAACGTATTTTGATTATAAATATTTTTTCAAATTAAGTATTTTTCTTATGATGAAACATATTTCCCTATGCAACTTCTTTCTTATTACAAATTCTCGTTTGCTAAAAATCTTCAACAAAATACGCGAATGTGGACCCAAATAAAATTTAAAATTAATGCAAATAATTTGCATTTGCGAACATGAATACGAAGTTTTGGAATATTCTTAGTTACAAGTTTCTCTTCTTCAATCTCAGTTTCAATTTGATCACTGGTGTTGTCTGAATTTATTTATTTGTGGCAGTTTTATTATTTTTGAATATTTTATCAACTCTGAAAAAAAAAAAATTGAAATGAACAGTTGCCCCAAAAGGATCAGTCAGCGGTTATTTCGTATAATTAATAATAAAGACATTTAGACTTTCACTTATATCTTTATCACACATATTAAATCCACACTTAAGGGGAAAAACCACATTAATGGGCTGATTTTCAGGTGTTCATGAATTTTTTCGAGTGGGCCATATCGATTAGAATTTGATCAAACTTTATTATTAATATTTTGAACTATATTTACATATTCTCTCAAATCATTTGTGTTGAAAATGCTGAAGTTATGGGTTGTCGTCCGAGTTGGTTTTTCACGGAAAATGTGGAGGTAGTAATTTTGATCTGAAAGCAAAATGGTTCTTTTCCTGCATTACTAACATATTTTCTAAGAATATGAACCTCATTGCGGTTAAAAATTGAAGTTTTGACACGTGTTTGGAAAAAAATTATATATTTTCGCAATTTTTTGTCACTTATTTTGAAAAAAAAAAATAAACACCCTTAAAATTATGATATCCCAATTGTTGGTTCATGTTCTTTGTAATTTCATAAAGAAACACACTTTCAGTTTTTGTAACGATCAGTTCATAATTTTTTGAATTAGAGTTCACTTTAATCAAATAAATGTTGTTTCGAGAAAAGCGCGTTTGAAAATTTAAGAAAGTTTGAGAAAGTTGCCAATAATATGGAGTACTTACCGGTCAATCAACGATTCCAGCACCATGTAACGGTCTTTCTTCTGCCTCATGAGCATCATTCTGAGCTTGCATCTGTTCTTTTCTTGCTTAATAAGTGACTACCGGAACAAGCATTCCGCCCTATCTGCTGTGTGCCCGATGGGCATTCGGTTTTAGGCTCATAAAATTGGAACGAATAGGAATTTCATTTTGAAATTTTTGCAGCTTATTCTTGAACCTCCTAATGTGGTTTCTCCCCTTAAGAGAACAGAACCGTTACAGGTGATATTTTTCCCAAGCCATAATGCATTTACTACTGTAATGTTTTTTTTCTACCAATTTCATTGAATCTTCCATGTCTATTTATGTCAAAAATCTTAGTTAGCTTTAAATGGTGCCCTGGTTCATAGGATGACAATACAAGGTAATATTTAAAGGAAGGAAAATTAATTTCTTTGTTTTGGAATGAAATATTTGAAGAAGTTGCGTTATCGAGAAATAACACAACATTTCTCTTTTCTCTCTTCATCTTGCCATCAATTTTTTTTTTAACCATCTCGACACACTAAGCAGAGTCATCCATGCTTTTTTATTGAAGCAATTTATCCTCATACACGTGCAGATGGCCCTAAGAATTATTGAAAAGTGGTGCGAGTACCATACTTTGTTAAACCCAGGAAGACGGAGATGGTCCACTTTACGAGGTAGAGGAAATTTGGGCCAATAAAGACACAGACTCTTCTAAACACCACGCTAATCTTTGCAATGGATATAAAGAATTTTGGAGTCACACTCAATGCAAAGGTAACATGGAATCTTCATTTGGAAAGAAGAATAAAAAAGGGGAACATATCCTATGAGCAGTGCCGCAGGACCGTTGATGAAACGAAAAGTAATTATGTGGATATACACTGCCATAGTGGGACTAATGTTGGCCTATGGAGCTGTTGTCTGGTGGCCAAACAGACAGCAACTAAACAGAAGCTCAGCCAGGTGCAAAGAATAGCTTGCCTGAGTGTTACAGGAGCTATGCGAATAACACCAACATTATCAATTAAGGTGATGCTATGTCTGCCGCTCTTAGATATTTATCTAAAGGAGGTGGCTCTGACAACTGTGCTTCGTTTCAAGAACGTTGATATTAAACTAAACGTAGGAAGTGGAGAAGTCAGATGTGTAACAGGCAAAATAATTAGAATCTACACAGATAGTAGACAATCAGTACTGATCTTGCATAATCGGAAGATAATCTCCAGATCGGTATGGGATCGGTGGTGGCCTCAGCTACCAACAGCATATCTGTATGCTGGGTGAAGAGACACGACTGGTGCAATGGCAATGTCAGACCTTTTTTGAAATGATTAAAGAAAACACCCACAAAGAGTTTAGAACATGGTGAGATGAAATAAACAGCTGTCAATTGCGACTGCATTGGTGTCTCATCAATGAGAGAATCCGTGCTAGGAGAACAGTGGCTTTCTATGGCCTACATCAGATAGATCCCCCTGAGCAAAATCATCACCCCTTTTTCTCCTTGATAGACTGGTTGACGACTCAGTAGAGCCGATGTCTCGCTGGGAGGATGCACAAGGGGCCCAATGAGGCCTAAATTGCTGTAGTTACCCTCCAAATTATTCCAGATTCCAAATCCTCATATGCCTCATTAAAACAGCTGGGATTCTTACTTTTACCAATCATTGGATGGCTTTTTCATGAGATTTTTTTTGCAGATTTTCTTCCTGCTATATTTCCTTAATATAAATGTTTTTGTAAGATGTGCTAGAAAAAAAGGTCTGTCCATCAGTATTGAAAATACTTTTTGATTTCTAGTCGTCAACATTTCGACAGTTTATCTAAGCAAATTCACCAGTTTTGGGGAATTCTAAGCTTCCTGAAAAATTTTGCACCTAACCAGTGGTCACGGTCCGTTAAAGAGACGGTTGCCGCATAAGTCAATTAACCAATAAAAAACAAATACCTCACGAAATACCTCAGTTTATCTTCGTTCAAGCTTCATCTCTTTCTAACTCATTGCATTCCCCATAAGAAAATAAGAGGCAAATTTAAAATTGTCATTTTTCTTGTACCACGCTCCTTTTAACATAAAATAATAAATTTAATCAGTTATGATTATGGTTAATTAACAGGTATTTTGAGTCTAAAATGTTACCTTTATACACAAACTGAACCTTTACATTGGAATTTGGAAATAAAAAGATGAAATGTGAACTTGTCTTGAATACACATCACGATCGGTCATTATTTTTGACGTTTGGTTACATAATTAACTTAAAATTTGTGTTAATTTTATTACAGATATCTATTAATATCCATAAATTCTAATAAAATGAAGAGGGGAAGTGAATATAGACCTATCGTAATATTCTCTTGGCTCCAAAATAAAAAGTTTATATGATGTTTTTGTATCTGCATTTGTCTTTAGTTAAATTTCAAATAACTTACCAAAGTACTTTATAATAGGCTGCAACATAATTTATTTTTGTACTTGCTAACTAGTTTTACAGTTGATGAATTAAAAAATTCCTGTTTTTACAAGTAAACTATACAGTAGTTTTTAGCTTTGAAAGAGTTTTTTTTCGGTGTTCGGAGTTAAATGGACTATGGAGGAATAAAAGGAAAGGAAGAACAGGAAAAGTTAATCGCACAGAACTTTTAACTTAACATTTAATTTTTAGAAAAATTGTCAAGTTTACAAAAATATTAAAATCACATTTCGATAGATACTTAAAATTTTCAATCGCTTTTCTAACAATCATATCAATTTGTTATACAACAATAACAATAAATTTAGTCCTTTTGAAGTAAATACAATCAGTTCAACTAGAAATTTAACATTTAACCTGTTTTCTTTAAGTCTTTTTCTTGATGATAAACTTAATAGCTCTGCTTGAAGATCGCGTTCAAAGTTTAAGTCTTCAAAATGTGTACTACAGATATGTCCAGTTATATGATTAAACAAATCGTCTTTTGCACCGTTCCACCCATATCTTTCTAAGTTTTTATCCTTAGGAAACACATTAAATAAAGTTTTTAAATTTTCTTGTTTAGCACTATCAAAAATTATTATTGCAAATTGGAACACTACACCTCACTCCTGGCATTTTTACGTGGTAAATTAATGGTTTATATTAAACACTACACCATCAACTTATTAAAAACTATTATCAATAACTAACTAATTACTGCAAAATACTCAAACAACTATGAAAGATTTACTTAAATACTTGGAAAAATGCAAAATTGCTAGTGAAGTCGCATGTAAACAAACATGAATCCTAAAGGTTAGAAATTTTGTGACGTAGTATGAGATAAGCCACGCCCATAATTTCTGTCTATTACTCGACCGTCTTCTTTTACGGACCGTGACCAATGGTGACTAATGAAAATTAAAGTAGTTATATTTTGATAATGACACAGAGACCCAGACCATTTTTTAGCGGATGATTTCTGTGCTTATACAGAAAACTTTCATAATGAAAGAAATTCGAACAAAATCTCAAAAAGGTTTTCTTGAATGGAAATAGTTTGTGCCTTTAATTTTTTAATTCGCAATTTTTATTAAAAATAATATTAATTTTAATTTGAATAGATAGGTTTCTTTTTCCATAATTCATGTCAACCCACCATTTAATTTCTCTTAGCACAGCTATTTCTGCATTGATTGTGTATTGTCATGAATTAAAATTTATTACATGTATGTGGGCAAAACAAGGGTAGGTAGGAGTGCACCTGAATTAAACGTGCAATGATTAGTTAGTAGGTATATTGACTGACCCGGCCGTCTCCTTTGTCTCTTAACGGGTAATTTTACATATACTTTGGTAAAATAGAGTTTCCGTGTCTGTTTTATAGAGATGATGGTAATAATAAGAAAACCACATTGTAAAATACCGTGAAAGCAAAATTATCCATAAATCAAATGTAGCTCAATTCAGAGGTGTCCGTAAATAGAGGTTTTACTGTAGTTGTAAAGTGTAAATTTCCGATCCGTTTCAGAGTTATGCCTGGCCGTTTTACCAGCCCGTGGATGCGGAACTGCTCGGCCTGCACGACTACCACGACATAATTAAGAAACCCATGGATTTCGGGACCGTCAAACAAAAAATGGACAACAGAGAGTACCGTACTCCCCAAGACTTTGCTGGCGACGTTAGACTGATTTTTACAAATTGTTACAAGTATAACCCGTCTGATCACGACGTGGTTGCGATGGCAAGGAAGCTACAGGACGTATTTGAGGTTAAGTGAGTATTTGCAGCTCCGTCTATGAGGGCATATTTAATTATTTTTTTCACTTTCAAGATTTGCAAAGATCCCCGACGAACCGGTCAACAGGATAGGAGGGCCAGTGACGAGTTTAGCTTCAAAGTCCGAATCGAGTTCTTCGGGGTCTAGTTCGGAATCTTCCAGTGATACAGAGGATTCCGAGGAGGAAAAGAGGAACAAACAGCTGAAATTATTAGAAAAAGAAGTAAGAAATTAAATTTTTAGACTACATAGTGAGACATAAACATTCTCATTTAAATGATGAACATTTAACATCTGAATATATTTGATGTTTTCAATACGAGCTTTTTAACACTGAAATTACTGAAACGTGATTTTAAATCCTAAAGTTATACGATAAGTGCGTTAATTGTTGGTCTTTTTGTCTTCTTAGCTGACGGCAATGCAGGAGAAGATGCGTAAGCTGGTGGAGGAGAGCTCCAGGAAAAAGAAGGAGAAGAAGAAGAACAAGATAAAAACCAAGAAATCGACATCGTCCTCATTACCGAACAGCAGTAGTGGTATGGGTAAGCCAGGGGCGCACGGGGCCCTCAACAAGCCGAACTCGGTAGTAGACAGCGTTGACGACAGCATCGCCAGTGTTGTGTCTGGGGCTGATCTCAAGATTGGCGGTGACGCGCACCACCCGACAGCCAACAAGTCCCTCAACATGCACCACAACTTGGCAGCTGGCGGCAACGCTTCTGCCCAAGCTAAAACGCCTAAGAGTAAAGGTGAGACGTCAAACTTTTAAGCCTGCCCTTAGTACTTCAATTTTTTTTAGTTTTGATTGCGAATTCTCATTTTTCTTTTATGTTGGAATAATCGTTTGCATGTATATTTTTTGATACCCACCGACATTAATAAGATTCAAACTTTCTTGGGACCACTGACTGCACGGATAGCTCTGTTTGAAGTATTGGTGCATGCCTATTTGGAAATAGCTATACATAACGACGTGTACATTAATTCATTGTTATAGTTTTTCCGATGTCAGTTGAACATGTATAACAACGCCTAGCAATAAAATTTAAGAAGTTTCAAAGGCGTGCCTAAAAAAGTTTTCTGCTAAAGGTAAAAAATTACAATAATTTGTATATAATGTGTAGAAAATTTGTATTATGTTTATTTGGCCAACAGCATATTTTAATTGTTTATGTCCTCAAACAATTTTATTCCATTGATGGCAAATTTTGGTAATGACGTATAAAAAAACATTTACATTATATTTTCTTTAAAATATATTACTCTTCGGCAAGAACCAATAGGTACGGCTAAGGTTCGTACTTTATTTTCTTTATACAGGGTGATTCATTAACAATGGGAAAATCGAAAGCTGAAGATACTACACGTGAAATGGTGACCATTGGCGCAAATATGCCTTATCCGGAAAATGGATAGTTTCGGAACTACAGGGTGTCGAAAGTTTAAATATTAAATCATTTTTTTGCGATTATTTTGAAAATATGTAGGTTAGGAACTTGAAAATTTGTGAAACTATATTTTTTTAGGCGACGAATAAGATGTGTGTTGTAATTTCAGCATAGCTCATAGAGGGTAGAGGGTGCCACTTATGACCAATTTTATCGAAAATTTAGTTCATAACTTTTCACCCTGTATGTCTAACATGAAACTTGATTCAAAACCTGAAAGAGCAATCAATTTTCCATTAATTGTGTATTCTTGTTTCATTTCGGTATCTCGATTCGTTTTCGAGAAAAATCGATTTAACGAACACTATGTTTTGATAATACGAGAAATTAAAAGCGAAACAAACCAAGTGTTTCTTCGTGTTATTGCAACAATTAACAATAAAACAAATGAAATTCGTAATAATGATTTAAAGTTAGTGTTCGAAGAATCCACCGTTGACATTTACACACTTTACACAACGTTTTCTTCGAGATCTTCGAGTTTGAAACAACATATTGGGATTGCGTTTGACTTCGTTGGTAGCGATTTGTATTCTTTGCCACAACTCTTCACACGAACCAATAGATTCTTCCAAATAGAAAAGTGATGATGATTTAAGTCCGGACTTCTGGGTGGCCAAGTAAAAATGCTTCCACGTCTTGAAGAAGTTCCACTTTATTTAAGAAGAGACATGTGGTTCATGTACGACGGAGCTCCACTGCATTTTTTTTGGCCAGTGTGTGCATATTTAAATGCAGTTTTTCTAAATCGCTGGATTTGCCATGTAAGCATTTTTGCTTGGCCATCCAGAAGTCCGGACTTCAATCCTCTTGATTTTTCTATTTGGTCTTGAATGAAAGATATAGTTTACAAAGAATCTATTGGCTCGTGTGAAGAGTTGTGGCAAAGAATACAAATCGCTGCCAACGAAGTCAGAAGCAATCCGAATATGTTGTTTCAAACTCGAAGATCTCTCAGAAAACGTGTAAAGTGTCAACGATGGATTCTTCGAACAATTACATTAAATCATAATTACGTAGTTTATTTGTTTTATTGTTAATTCTTGTAATAACACGAAGAAACACTTGGTTTGTTTCGCTTTTAATTTCTCATATTATCAAAACATAGTGTTCGTTAAATCGATTTTTCTCGAAAACGGATCGAGATACCGAAATGAAACAAGAGTACATAATTAATGAAAAAATGATTGCTCTTTCAGGTTTTGAATCGAGTTTCATGTTAAATATACAGGGTAAAAAGTTATTAACTAAATTTTCGGTAAAATTGGTCTTAAGTAGTGCCCTCTATGAGCAAAGCTGAAATTACAACACGCATCTTATTCGTTGCCTAAAAAAATATAGTTTCACAAATTTTCAAGTTCCTAACCTACATATTTTCAGAATAATCGCAAAAAAAAACGATTTCAAATTTTAACTTTCAACAGCCTGTATTTCCGAAACTATCAACTTTCGGATAAGGCATGTTTGCGCCAATGGTCACCATATCACGTGTAGTATCTTCAGCTTTCGACTTTCCCATTGTTAATTAATCACCCTGTATATATTTTTTTATTTTTTCTTTATATAAATTGTCCGCCGAATTATGTCTCTCGTCATGTAATAGATATTTTTAAATTTTTGTTTTTGCTTCCTCTTTACGCAATGATCTATAACACCTTGTTTAATAACTCGAAAAATTGTGGACACTGAAACTTTAGTTAATATGTGAATTCTATAATTTCTTTATCTGATTTTTCATTTTCTTCCTTTTTTAAGCAATCATAAATATTTAAAATGAGACGCTGACATTGAACATGTAAATCTTTATTTTTAAATTCTAAATTTGTTTCATTAACAACCGGTTCTACGAATTCAATATTGTCTGGCAGTATTTCCTTTGGTTCCGTTTCAAAAAGTCTCCAAAATGCCATTTTGTAGTATTAGTAAACAAAATATCCCTCTTATTTCTCCCTTTTGCAATTGTAATATGATTAATAGAAGGTGCCTATAATAAATTAAAATTACCTAAATCACCAAATTCCACATTGCTGCATTGCAATACTAGGCAATTTGTCAACAACTGAAATTTATGACCCAGTCGCCCAGTGCGGCTGTGTTTGTGCGCCGTTTGTCCGCGCGCGCATTCTTCAACTGAGCGACCAGACCTGTATATGGGTATGGTTAAATAAATATGGGAACAAGTTTTTCAAATATTTCAATACCGAGTTGCTGTGTAGCAACCGAGCCTGGTACATGTAGTATGTACCAGCTATTTGGTCTTTAGTTGAGATCGGAAAGACTATACTATATTGATTTACCATTTTAGTATGTTTGTTTGCAATTTACACACATCACAGGTACACTGTGCTTTCACAAAGAGAAAATGGAGTTTAAAATAAGAATCTGGGAAAATAAATTACTTCATTTCATTTAAACATACATGTTTGCCAATAATTTTCAAAATAACAGGCGCACATTTCAATAATGAAAACTGACGATTATGTTGTTTTGAACTAACAATTTTTCTGTTTACTGTAAAAAGTATTGGGCAAAAAAGCGTACTACAAGCCATTTACTGCCACAATGATTTACCTCTTATTATGTAGAATGTAACTATTGCAGATGTTCTCAATAAGTTTTAACAGTTTTGATTATTAATTTTAAACACCGGTTTTCAGTTTCGATGATTTTGGTTATGGAAAATACTTATTATTAAGACATTCTACTAGCCATTAAAAAGTTTATAAATACCCTGTATTGAGAAGTACGTAATACCTTTTTTTAATAGTGAGTTTTTTAGTGAGGAATATAGGACAGTTTGACCCTTTACCTTTCCTCATTCATCTCCTGGCGTCGGTGTTTAGCCATAGTAGCACAAATAGGCCGACATAAAATAAGCAAAAACCAATATAGAGCCAATATAGATGGTGTTAATTATGTACGTAGACAACTTTGAGGGTGATTCTTTGAGTGATTTTAAGCCAAAAAGGTTGGATAAAAGTGGATCCACAAATCAGTATTTTTTTCTAGATGCAGGTTGTTGAGATTGAAAAAAAAAATTACACGTTCTAAATTATCTTTGAAGAATGATTTATCAAATTAAAGGTAAAAATCCACTGAATTTGGATATAAATACTTATACTATTGGCCACTAGATATTTTAAAAATTTGATCACAACTTTCTGGAACTGGAATTTCGTTTTTGTGGAATGGTATATCCAAAATAAATAAATAATTTCTAACCCATTGTCCAAAAAATAAGGTTAATTTGTTTAAAAAATTAAAAAGTCATTTTTTATGCTTCCAAATCAATTTCATCGCCTTCAAAGTAATCCCCACCCGATACAATGCACTTATACCACTGTTTTTTCCAACTCTCAAAACATTCTGAAAAGTCCTTTTCTGGTATGGCCTTCAATGCTTTTGTCAATTCGACTTCTATTCCCACGATCGAGTTGAAATGGCGTTCGCATAGTGGTCTTTTGAGATTAGGGAATAGTGAGAAATCACTCGGTGCTAAATCAGGCAAATACGGTGGTTGTGGATGAGGAACGATATGAGTTGAATTTTTGGCAAAATGGTTTTAAATCAATCCTGTCAGCCAGTGCATTCGTCATGCAAAAACCAAGAGTTGTCTCCATAATTCAGGCCTTTTGCGGCAAATAGCATCACGCAAACGACACATAACACAAATAATAATTGTTAACAGTTTGGCCGGTTGAAAGAAATTCATAGTGCACTACGCCGCTATAATTAAAGAAAACTGTCAACATGATCTTTATTTTTGAGTGACTGGCGTGGGTTTTTCGGTCTTGGTTCACCTTTTCCACGATATTCACTCGATTGATCGGCTGTTTCCAGGTCATAAGCGTAGATCCAAGTCTAACCTCCAGTAATGATGCGTTTCATGATATCTTGGTAGTCAGAAATCATTGTTCCACAGATGTCAACGTGACGCTGTTTTTCCAAAAAGTTGAACGTTTTTAGAACCAAACGAGATTTGACACGCCTATCTTTTAAAATGGCATTTACCGAATCTCTTGAAATGACAACAGTATAAACAAAGTCTCTTATTGTTAATCGACGGTTTTCGAGCACAAGATCTTTGATTTGATTTAACTTTTTGTTCACCAGTTGACGTTGATGCTGCTCCGGGACACTGTTCATCGTTAACCCATTCTTTGCCTTCCTTAAAGTCTTTGTACCACTTGTAAACTTTTTTTGCAACATAACCTCATCACTAAAGGCCTTCTGTAACATCCTCAATGTTTCCGCGGCAGAATATTCATTCCGCAAACAAAATTTAATGCATATTCTTTGCTCAAGAAAATCAGACATAGTGAAAATCGCTAAACTCCCTTTAATATGTTTACAAAAACACGAGTAGCTCTGCAACAGTTGAATACGTTGACTTGAAACTGCATAGATATCAAGGACAGTACTGACAACCTACAAAAAAATAATTGTATGCTTTCATAATACCCGTGAATTTTAAATAAGTAATTCACTTTTTTTTTGGACACAGAAATATATGTAACGTATGTGTGATGTTAGAAAAAGTAAGTTTTATTTAAATTTCAACAGCTTATATTTCGTTGAGGTTTAAAATCATTAAAAGAATAATACTTAAAGTTTATCAACATACTTAATTAACAACTTGTATATTGAAATAATAGCGAATTTTCCCCTTTTTTTCTTTACTCTGAGTTGATTTGATAAATTTGACAACATTTTGTTTTTATAAATTTAGCACAGCATTGGAATTTCTGAAAAGGATTTTTGTTACTATTTCCTTCGCACAAGAGTTTACAGAAGATAGAACGCACACTTTTTTTTTTATCTTAAGCGCCAAGCGCCATTAATTCTCTCCTTCACCTAAAACAAACACAAACTGTTATAATAAACGCATTACACACAATAGGCGGGATACTTTACGGGCTGCAAAGCCACAAAAATTGTTTGAATTATGTTATTCCATTAACATTTATAGTATTTTAGCAGAATCTTGTTTCATTACAGGTTTACGAGGACCGAAGCCAGCTCCTGCACCTAACGCAGCTTCCAAACGAGTGAAGACAAACAATAAGACTGGCGCTGGTAGAAAAAAGTCTGCGGCGCAACCTCTGGCGATGCCATTCGACTCCGAGGATGAGGACAACGCTAAACCCATGTCTTACGATGAGAAGCGTCAGTTGTCATTGGACATAAACAAACTGCCAGGTATTGTTTCTTGATAAAATATTCCAGTGTCCTTTAGGATTGAAGTGTCCTTTATCGTTATAGGCGACAAACTGGGAAGGGTTGTACATATAATTCAGTCGAGGGAACCATCGCTGAGAGATTCCAATCCGGACGAAATCGAAATAGATTTCGAGACGTTGAAACCGTCGACGTTGAGGGAGCTGGAGAGCTACGTCGCATCCTGTCTACGTAAAAAGCCACGTAAGCCTTACTGTAAGTTCCGTTACTTCACGTCTAAAGGTCGGCTAAAGCGCACCAGACCACAGAAAGTAGCACCCTATCACGTGTTTCAAAACCGAAGTGTCCACCAAAAGTTTTACTCGCGGAAAGACGTCTCAGTGTATTTTGCATCAAGTTTTGTTAGAAAAATTTATAGAAAAAGTCATTTTTATTTTAACTAGTCGATGTACAACTAGTTTGAGCTTCCGAATTTTAAAGCAAAAAAAGTTTAATTGGAAAAGAAAATTAAAATAATATTTTTCGTTAATTTTTTTTTCCATTGGAACCTTATATTCGAAAAGAATGTTTGTTTAAGATAGTTCTGCATGTTACACATCTTTTATACCATTTCACATTTGCAGTGTAGTAATAATTTTCACTTAACGGATAATATACAAGGTGATTCTTAAGTACGTTCTAATATAAAAGGTCATTGTAGGAAAAAGGTTGTTGTTGTTGACTTAATATTCCAGGAACAGCATCAAAGTTTTATCATTGAGGATGATTTTCATCAATCGCTGATGGTTTGTTGATTTATTTAATTAGATGTAAAAATTTGTTAAGATGTCTTATAATTATGTCAACCAGTGGTGGAGATATGAAAAGTCAGTTATTTTAAGAGCGTCAGAAATTCAATGTCACTGGATATTCTGTAAAGTTATTTAGTGCTTTTAATTGCTCATGACACTTTTCAGAAAAGATATTCCTTACGATTTATTTGAAGAATGAGCCTTTGTATTTAGAGTTCTGACATTGTAACTAAGGGTTTTCCAATTAGGACGGGTCGATGTTGACAGTCCGTGGCGGCCATGTTGTTTTGGTGGCGTCTGTCAAATCTATTGTTTATTATTGAGTCACTGATGCTAAATCATATCAAGGTACACATTGAGCAGCACAGCACGTCCATGTGACAAAACTCTATTATCAAAATGAGTGTTTGTTAGTGCAAACGTTGTGCCCGTTTTACGGCAGACGTGATGGCCCTTCAAAGTCCAACGTTTGGTGGCCAAATTCAATATGACCAGTGTGGTATGCAATCAGCCAACACGCATACGTCGAAGGAACGCCAGATCGGCCGAGAACATTGCGGTTGTCTGTGAAAGAGTGAGAGAACTCGAGGCAGTCGATTCCTCGCCGTGCACAAGAACTTGGACTTTTGCAGGACCTAGGAATTGCAAGTTAATTACAATAGACAACGCTGTTTGTTGCTGATTGGGTTTCGTAGCCTTTGGAAGAGAACCTCAATTTTGGCTGAAAAATCATCTTTAGCGACGAGGCGCATTTTTGGATGAATGGCTATGTTAACAAGTAAAATTTTTGTATATAGGACAACGCCAACCCACACAAGGTCCACCAGGTGGCAATGCATCCACAAAAAGTTACTGTTTGGTGTGGATTTTGGGTCGTAGGCACGATTGGTCCGTACTTCTTCAAAACGACATTGGTGAGGCCATCACCCTCAATGGCGAGCACTACAGATCAATGATAACCAATTTCTTTTGGCCAAAATTGAACAATATGGACATGGACGACATGTGACTGCCACAATGAACGATTTGAGGGTATGGTTATCTCTCACAGAGGTGACGTGAATTAGCCATTAAGATCATGTGATTTGACCCCGCTAGACTTTTTCTTGTGGGATTTTCTGAAGTCACAGGTATGTATATGACCGATGCGTTCAAAATCAGCCGGATCTATGTGGTAGAGTCATTGAAAATTGGGCCGCTCGGATCCATACTACTATGCGAAGCTGCGGTAGACATTTGAATGATGGCATATTCCATACATAATGACATACAGGGACTTTCAAATAAAAAAAGAATTTTGTTAATACTTCCCTTTATTCCATTTCAACATTGACCTGCCCTTATTGGAAAACCCCTTTATAAAATGACTACTACACAGTTCAGTAAATCGAAAGTAACTATGAAATAGTTTTTCATAAAAAACCAGTTAATAGGAAGTTTTTTTTTAGAAATTTAGATAATTTACTAGCCACTTTTATTGTGATATTTGTCAAAGGTTGTACCTCGAAAATTAAGTCGTTTATAAGGACTTTTTCCTTAACATCTGAACAAATGCCTTGTTTATTATTGGAATGTACTAAAAGCCAACTTGGATTTTATTGAAAAAAAAATTGTTTATAGACAGATTTGCATTGTTTTTCGCAATGAGTAAAACTTTGTATACACTTTAGGTGTGCTACAGGCGTACGTAATTGGAACTACACATTTTTAAGCATGGTAGAACGTTGCTGGTGTACCGTGGGTTTGGTTATTTAATTTTTAATTTTTTTTCTCCAGGCAAATTTGATATAACCATTCTTTACCGAAACATTTGTATGTCTATTTCACACCGAATACAATGCTTCATTCTGCTTTATGTAAAACCTTCAACGGTTTCTTATTTGACCAATTTTTTTTTAAAATTGAAATTTATTTTTTGTTTCTTTGTTAACCGAAAGTTCCGAATTATCATAATGCTTATCAGTTTCATACAGGATGGAACTAAATGTAACGTACCAACTATTTCAGTTTTAATTTTTCTAAAAGAATGTAGTTTAGAATTTTTAAACAAAGGATTTAGTTCAAACATCCTGTATTTTTTTACGCATGCTCTACCATATTGGTGTACTTCTAATTTATTATAAGATAGTTATCTGGTGACAGGTTTTTATTTTATTTTACGATTAAATAGCAAAATTTTAATAAAGTATTCTTTGTTTTGGTCTTTTGGGGTTTTCTCGAAGCTTAGCTTTCTATTTTTGTTGGTAAAATATTAATCTGCTGCGAATGAAAGGTTTTCTGTATTTTTTTTCACGAAATGTTAATTTTAATTAGAATTTTGAAGGAATGCAGGAAATCTTTGTTCCGATGAAAATAATCGTTTTAAATTTTTTGGTGGCAGTAACATATTTATCGATCATTATTTCTTTTTTCCATTGTGAGAAACATTTAATTGCGAATTTCAGATAAAAAAATTGCTGGGAAATCCAAGGACGAACAAATAGCGGAAAAGAAACAGGAGCTCGAGAAAAGACTTCTAGATGTGAACGATAAGATAGGGAACTCGAAAAAGGCTCCTAAAAAAGGTGAGTCGCTGAATTTTTTGTTTATCACTTGCAGTAAATTATACAATTTTTTAACCAAATAAACCAATTTAATAAAATAACAGATAAATTAAGTGCACTGTCAAAATTATGCTTAAAGTTACGGTTGGATGTATTGTATTCAAAGCATTTTGTAAAAATGATTAAGTTGGTATTTTGATAAAATGAATCATAAGATGCAAACAGAATAGTTCGAAATTTCAATATGACACCCATGAAACTGGCTCTTTTTTGGTAAAATTTTACATTATGTGTTGGTTGCATTTGGGACAAATTCTTTCATGTGTTAGCACATTTATGCGATTGTAGACACATATGACATTGTCAGCTTATGTCACATTATTCTACAGTGAGGAGGTTTTTTATTGTTTTGCCCAAAATTGTCATCGAGTCTCGTATTATTTCTTTCGAGCAATTAAATTTTCATATAAACGCACTAATAATATTATATAATTGTCTGCTGCATTGTTAATAATGAATAGAAAAATTTCTGATATTATGTAGATCTCTATCGAAATGGAAATCGATATAAAGGTAGCAGGAATCTTTAACCGGCCCTTTCTGTTCTCGGGCTAGGCTCTGTAGGGGCGGACCAGCTATCAGAACTTTTAGGTTCTCCTCCATGTTCATTTTGTTCCTTATTGGGTCTTAGGCCGCTACAGACGGAACCATTCCTTAGGTAATTGTGCCCCTTTGAGATGTTCCATAGTGGCCTCTGCAACTGTATGCATCCAATGCTTCTAAACGTTTTGCTGTCGGCATCTTCAGTGGTGACTGCAAATGCTTTGACGCGACAGCCACACGTCTTACCTTTCACATCCTTAACCTTGGTCCGGCCCAGGATGTTCGACTTACCTTATTGTTCACGGGCTAAGCTCTGTGGGGGCTGACCCCCTGTAAAAACTTTTAGGCCCGCCTTATGTTCATTTCAGTTCGTGTTAGTTCTAAAACCGTTATGGATGGAACCACTTCACAGACAATGGGATCCTCCGAGACATTTCATAGTGGCCTTTGTAACTGGTTGCATCCAATGCTTCTAAATGTTTCGTCTTTCTTCACTGCTGACCTTTAGTGGCGGCTCTGCAAATGCTTCGCCATGACTCGCCTAGGGATTCTGATAGAGGGTCCGTCACCACAGATGCTAGCCCAAGAACATAAGGGCAGGTCAAAGATTCCCATCTAAGGCTAAGGAAGTGAAAGGTGTAATTAGTGATGACCAGGTACATAGGTCACGGCATAATAACCCGAAAAACCATCGTACTTAAAAAAAAGGTCACTGCCATTTTTGCCTCAGACATTGAACAGCAATGACAACTAGATGTAGGACTATATACCCTGTACCATAAAAATGGACAGTGATTCATATCCAGCACTTAGACTAGCAAGGGAGGTGAGGGGTGCAGGGGACAAGATTCCATAGGCGTACTACTTGAGAAGTGGTCAAAGAACAGAAAATTATAAAAAATAAATTCACATTTAAAAAGCGTATAGACTCACCTGTCGTCCTCTCACCAATTGTTGAGTGCCGCCCTTTCGGCGGCGATGGCCCACCACCACCCACTTAACAAGTACCTGATGCGCATGCTGTGATATCACACTTTATCACTTATAATAATACACTGAACTATACAGGGTGTCCCATAAGCACATTATCAAAAAGGTACTGCGACATTCTTTGGCTCAAAAGAAGACGATTTGACCCAATTTCCATTAAGAAAAAATGCCAGGCTCCTCTGCTATTGACTGTCAAAGTTCTTGAAAAAATATATGTTTTTTGTTATATCTGGAGAATGTTACGATGGATTTTGCTGGAATTTTACGCTGCTACGATAGTAGTAATTGTAGTGAGTATTTGTTGTACTTGAGTAGTAGTGATAATGGTTGTCTAAAATTGAAAACATTTTTTTACATAAAAATTATGAATGCTACAAGATTTTACCAAGAGTACGAAAATCTCGAAAAAGAACTGATGCATCAATAAAAATAAAATGAATTGATTCCAGCGACCAAATAAAAAGTTCTAGTAATTTTTGTACCAAGACACTCAAGAATTTACCACTAGCCCAAGGCAGATGGACGCGGTTGCTTCATCAAAACATGAGTTTTACTTAGGAACAAGTCCACAGCAAGTCATTAAAATCCATCGTAACATTCTCCAGATATTACAAAAAACATTTTTTTTTTTTTCAAGAACTTTGACAGTCAATAGCAGAGGAGCCAAACATTTTTTCTTAATTGAAGTTAGGTCAAATCGTCTTCTTTCGAGCTAAAGAATGTCGCAGTACCTTTTCGATCATGTGCTTATGGGACACCCTGTATATACACAGTATACACTATTGCCTACTATGACTTCACTATGATGGTCATACATTAACACTTCTTGTATAATACACTACACTTATTATACTTTGGACTATACACTACACTATGTACAGTTGGCGCCACCCAAATGTGAACGGATTTTGGTTGTTATGGAAATTTCATCTGGATTTTATCGTAAATCAGACTTTGTAGTGGCGTAAAACCGAGATGGTATTCTAATTAATAAATATGCGTCACTGGAAACCTTCCTGACACCTTGCCTGATAGGCCTGTAATTTTCGTTCTTCTTGCCAGCGTTGTTTAATATAAAATATACAACTCTTACTGACATTTAAATCAGCAGCCACTTCGCTCAAAGACCAATTATCTTCTAATTTAGCTGTAGTCCTTGCTCTTTGCGCCTCAGTTAAATGCTCTGGCATATTTCACTTGTTTACATTTCATTATGTTTGCTTTAAGTGACATATATATTTGACAACTATTGAATTTTACGCCAACTATGATTTGAAGTTCAAATTACACGGTACAATATTGCCGTTCACATTTGGGTAGCACCGACTGTACATATACATTACTGGTCACTAGCTCTATTACTATCACTGTCATCACTAGAGCTGCTGTCATCTCCAAGGGGTATTATCAATGGATCAACCAATGCATCAACTGTCGTGACGAGATTCCACATGCGTTGTTCCTCTTTGTGGACATGTATATACATTTACTCCATTTTTCTCCTGTAACCAAATTAATCTCTTCGTGCAAGAGTAATTTTACATTCAATTTAAATGTCATATTCTTTCCTGCTACTCCATTTTTTATCTGGGCCCAGATTAACTCAATAGGATTTAGTTCACAGTGGTAGGGTGGCAAGCGAAGTACTGTAATCCCATGAGCTGTAGCCATTTCATCCATTACATACTTAATGTATTGGCCTTTCTCTCTCTCCGTGATTTTCAGTAATCCGGGTTTAACCCTTTCACTGCTCCAGAAGTATATATTCGCTAAAAATTTATAGGGCTCAAACTGCTCCAGACGGATTAATTCGCATGAATAGTTAAATTGGATCAGGCTGCTCAAACCGTATATATTCGCAACCATGCGCATTAGTGACTCGGTTATTGCAATTGGTAAGGCGAATTTTTGCGGGCGAGCTTATACCGATTGCGACAAATATTTTTATGAAAAGAGGTACTGGTAATAATACCAAGATTGTTCATGTTTCTTTCAGTTTCTATTTATTAAATATACTGTATTTTATTCAAAATAAAATCGTAAAATTATCGTAAATCGTAATTTAACACAACATAATGTAAAACTATAAGAGGTCTAACCGCTCCAGACGTATATATTCGCACTCAATAAACTTTCGCGCACGGCGCGGTAGCTACGTTCATACGTATTGCGCAGCAAAAGGGTTAAGCATTGTTTCGTCGAATTCGATCTTTTTCGATTTTAACCAGTCTATAATTTCTGCCTTTCTCCATGCTGATGTTGGCAACTTCTCTAATCGCCGACTATGATAGGGTGCATTATCCATTACAATTACAGCACCAGGTTCCACCACTTACACTCATATTTTGGTTTCGCGCTATAAGCCCTTCATACACGTTTTTTTTATCATCTGATATTCCTGCCTTGTTAGATGAGGGCTCTTACCATTACTAGAACACACTGTAGAGCTTGAATTACTCTCCATTTTAAGAATATAAACCCAAAATCTCTTAATAAATTAATTACAATCACAATTAAATATCGTCAGACTTCTCCCCGATGCACGCCTATTTGCCTGTTCCACCAGAATTACCCAGATCCGAATGAACGTAACCCAATTGACGTCATACACCAAACACCAATGAAAGTCTAGAATTTGCTGTAGCAGAAGAATATCTGGTGCACTCCAAACGAGACCCAATTGACGTCACGCACCAAACAGCAATACAATTTAGAATTTGCTAAAGCCTAAAACTGCAGTATCGACTGCTGTGGGAGAATGCGGCACACACAATTTTATACGAATAATTTACAAACGGCTCGTACTTCTCTTTGTGTTGACTGCCAAAAATGGTGAGCCGGATTAAAGATGAAATCGCTGCTTATTATTTTGAGATATGACTGTAGCTATATCTTTACTTACTACTTACAACATGCCTGGCTTTAAGCATCAAATAGCTATTTAATTAATCGGTTGCCTCACCTATGGCATACTGATGAGGCCTAACAGGTCCCTTTGTTTACTAATTTTTGCTCGTCAACTTGCAGAATAATGGTTTTCTCCAATAATCATTTAAAAAAGATCAAATTTCTCTTCACATATTATTTGATCGATATTGTATGATCGCTTTAAGTTGTCCGAGATCCCCATTGTGCATCTCGAAAAAGGAGCACCCAGATATACTTTTTTTGTGTTGTTCTCACGATGACGGTTTTTGTTAATGTTTTTCATGAATTAATTTGTTACAGAGGATGCGAACAAAGTGGACCCGACTGGTGCAGGTGGGCCCTCCGGGCGGATGTCCTCGAGTTCGAGCAGTTCGGACACTGACAGCAGCAGTAGCAGCCTGTCGAGCAGCTCGAGCGATTCCAGCGACAGCGAAGCAGGTTAGCTCTCACTTTGGTTATACATCTACAGTGATAAAGTGCCACGCATTTGTAGATGACATTCTGCTTTATTCTCAGAAAAAAATTATTGATCTAGGGTGCGGTTATGTACGTTTTTCCGCCGTATCTGTGACGGTCGTAGGTTTGAGAGTATTTAATATTTATTATTATCCAGACCCATGTGAGATTATTCTTATTTTGTTATTTTTTTTTATCACATCGGAAGCAGTAAAACCTCGGACACCGCGGGCGTGGCTTGTTTTTTTTGTAATAAAAGAATGGGATATTAGTGCCATGCTCTGACTTCGTAACGCTTCGTATATAAGAAGTAAAATCTTTGAGATTTTCCATTCAATTTTCTTTTTGCTCATAGCAAAGTTTATTAATTTTGTCTACGTTTACATTATATATACGTCAAAGTAGATCTTTTTTGAAGAAAGGAAAACTACTTGCACGGTGAAGCGACACTTAATAACATTTTATTCGGATCGTGCATTTATGTACAGGGAATCGTGTAATGAAATTCAAAACTGGAGTCTGTACCTGTCTGAATCAGAACAACTTAATGTGCACATATGTGCTGTCAATGAAAACGAAAAAAAAAGAAAGGTTATTGTTGTTACACTCAAATGAATGTTCATTAACGTAAAATGACTTAATTTTATACAGTATTGGTTTATTTTTTCTTGGGGGTGATTTTTTTGTAATTTTTGTTTATGTGATGGATGTCATTAAGGTGTTTTGATTTAGAATTACTCTAAAAATGGATATAACGTACTTTGGATTGAAGGATTTATTTATTTATTTGTATTAGATGTAGGTTAACGCAGAGGAACTTTGGCCGCTTCATAAAGCAAGTTGTTTAACTGTGTCGATTCGTATTTTCCTTATCAATATTTTATTGCTGTTAAAAAAGTATGAATGTCACAACTGTACGTTTTCAGCATCATGATGCAGTGTTTGAGACTTTGACTCTTGTCATTTAAATGTAATTTATATAGAGCGTTTGTAAATAGTGAAATACATATTGTTTAAAAGCTGTAATTGAGGTGAGATTAAAATTAAGTATTGGTATATTTTTTACCAAGTAATGCACTTATAAAGTGGATTTTAGAGCTTTCTGGAGATTATGGTGTGACTGCATGAGGAAATCGAATACATTTTTGAGAGCCTGTAATCCATATTGTGGTTACAGCGATAGGTGTTAAGGTTTTATTACCATAATCTTACGGAAATGTATACGTTAGTTTTGGACCGTCATAACTTTGTAATTTGACCATTGAATTCAACAAAACAAATGTATGTACGCATTTATGCTGGTGCTCTTTTCAGTTTCATTTGGTGCAGCATGAAGGTTTTCGCATAAACTGGCACGTATTTGAGTACAAATGTTGATTTGCTTCATGTTGCAAAATTGTTTTACAAAATAAGTATTATTGCGCCTAATCTTGTAGTGTTTGCCAAACGTGAACGAGGAATATTGGCAATATAGTTTTTATCAAAAATCAGATAATGTTACTTGTTCACTTTGGCAATAGTATCAGCCTTGAGTGCATATATGTGTGGGGCCCCAGCTTAGCGGACCAACCATACAGACCATTGGGTCTTACCACAACTTTTTTACGGTCGAGGATTTTTTTTTTGACATCAGGTGACTGTATATACATATATGATATATACGCGCTACATTTTAATGCAGACAATGTGTGTGGCGGCTGTATCTCATTCCGTCTGGATTTGCCGTAAAAAATCAATAGGGCAAATCCTGATGGATTTTTTTTAGTATATATTTAGGTGTTCACAGAAGGTCTAATGTGACCAGTACGTAAATATTGTGCCTAATTTTTTGAACAAATATTTTTTCTAGTGCAGCTGTGTTGTTTTGTGCAACATTTTTCAAAGAGAAATAAACACAACTTTTTTATTTAACATTGATTGGCTTGTAAACGTGAACACCACAAAAATGTATCGTAATAGTTGTCTATGGTACTGTATGGTTTCGAAAAAAAGAATTCTTTGGTCAGTTATAAAGTAAGCTGGCCTCCACCCACATTGTTTGTACTCTAGGCATATTTTCTTATAAATATCTTGATCTTTTCAATGCTTTTTTGTTCAAAAATTATATTTCTCCAGACAAACCTTCTTCAGTATTCATACGGTGTACCTAATGTATTTGTTAACAATAATCCATTTACAATTTATTTAGAGACTTAATTCAAGGTGTAGTAGCCTAGTAAACTTTAGGAAAAGTGCTGAAAAGATTAAAGAGTCGTATAGGAGGCAAGCGATTTTAGAATTGAAATGTAGAATATGAGAGTTGTGTCATATCAGATTACTTATGTTGTAATGCAAAAATGTATATAATTTACACTGTATTCACGAAAAGTTTAACATGTGTCTCGTCAAAATACTTTTTTCATTTTTAAAGTATCCTTCTTTATATAATGTATTCGTAATTATAAGATTTTTTCCCTGTGGTATGGTTATACATACATAATTTCTCACTTAATTTTTTTTATCTGCACTGTGTTTTAATTATTGTTTACTTTTTATATATTATTTTGTTTTTATGTATTTGACATACTTTTAATATAAATATATTTCTATTGTCATTTTAATTTTTATTTCATCTTTCATTTAAATTCTTATTTGGGGGGCGTGGGACTAGCATACTTTGTAAATATTTCCATAATACTAATGTAAATATAAGTGGACTCTCTGTGTTCACGAATATACCTTGCCTCTAGTGTAGCAACCAGCTGGATATTTAAGCTTTTTTTATTTGTATATTTATTTAAAATACAATGAAGAGATGTAAGCATTAACACTGATGTCGAAAGTAAAGTTTATTATTAAATTTAATATATAAAAAATGGTGTTTTTGTGGTAAGACCTTTTATCGATATATGGCACTCGAGGGCTACGTACTCGCCGCTTAGTAGACACCTTCTTAGCGTACAAGTTTTATAGGTGGGACTGCCAACCGACAGCCTAAAAAGAAGGCTACTAAAAAGTCGCCGAATCCGTCTGTTGGGAACTCTACATCTACGGTGAGTGACATTTTTTATCTTACTTTAGTTAATTCTGTAAACGATATATTTAAATTATTTTTGTGAGAGAAAACTATGTGTGTCGAAAATGATGAGAAACTTTTCAAATAGTAAGTGCTTAAAAAATACCAAGTATTCAATTCAACGATTTAGAATCTTGGAAATGATAAAAGTCAAAACTTACAAAAAGTGCAAACAAGCACTTTTGAAGCAGATTGCTCCCTATGCTGTGTAGAATAAAAGAGCGTAATAAATCGGGGTGTATACCAATTTGGAAAATCTAGAATTATTGGAGATTTTCATGGAAATGTCAAAGAATTTCTCAATTTTCATGGAATTTTTTAAAATTTCTCTTGTAGTTGGTTTTATTTCCAAGATACGGCTATCGGATGTCATTTTGCTGGAAAGTAAAATTGCCATTACGACTAATTTTACATCTACGTTTTTTTTTTCATGAATCTTGGAAATATGTAATTATATATACAGAAAAGTTTAAATTGACAAAAATATTGTCGATATACCACTAAGAAAACAAAACAATTCGTTGTTTTGAATTTTTTTCAGAAAATATTGAAAATCTTTAAGAATCAAATATCTATTAATTACATTCGATTAAAAAAAAAATAATTTGAACCTTTGGTTAAATATTGTATAAATTGTAGTTACTTTTTCGAAAATGTTGGTAAAAAAAAACTAATTGTGCCAGTGAAAATAACAAAAAGTTACATCAGAATAATTCAGGAACTTTTTTAATAAAATTCAAATGAAGAGGAAGTCATTTTTTTCGGGGCAATGTTACGAAACATTATATTCTCATAGGCGACTCATGAGAATAGATGAAGCATATTCATTGATTGACTAAAAAGAAAAAAAAAGCGCCGTTGACGAAAATTTTCAAGTTTTCAAGGTCAAACGACTTTAAATGAATCTGGAAATTCTTAGTTGCATTTGCGATATTACCAAAAAACTGACGTTTGTGAGAAGGATTTTCATTTAGATTTTATAAAAAATAGAAATATTAGTTCGGCATGTGGACTTCTGCGAACATTAATGCACACCGTACATGTATGTTCTAAAGAAGCTTTATGGTTACGACAACCTCGCGTGACATTCCCAAAATTGTTAAAACCCTTATTATTCCACACCTCCGACTTTACACCCACAATTAAACACGGCATACAGAAAAGTTTTTTTAAATGAACACTTCCACACAACCACTTATACTCCGAACACCATTCATTCCGAAACTTTCGAACGTACACGTTGTCTTTTGACTTCCCCTTTTTCCCATATCGAGAGAATAAGGCACAAGTCTCTCGCAATTTAAAAAATCTTTTGTCTTCAATTTTCCATCTGGAAAATGGCGTTTCCAAAATACATACTGGATCATACATGGAACCATTTCTACGATTATTGTACAAAACAAATATTAACAAAGAACCGTTATAATCGTGCACTGGGCGATGCGTATTGTATAAACTGTTAAAGGCAGGCGATGGGCAATGCTGCTTCAATTTCTGCGTCACTTGTTCCCCCACGCCGTAGTTTAATTATGTATTGTCCGCCTCGTTACCATGACAACCGCCGTAAAAAAAACCTACAAAGAGAAGCAGAATACACACTGATTTTAATCTGTGTCACTCGCGTGTACTATACGTTGTATGGTTCGAAGTTGATGTTCGCGCTCAACGAAGGCAATGTTTTTTTAGAAGGGGTTCACCGCGCAACTATTCTGTTTATTTCTGCATATTAAACAAATATAGAATTATACCTAAATTCTAAAATTCATATAATAAATTATATATAATTTATATATAAAATAATTTTAAATTGCACATCCAAACGAAAATTTTAGGTGAAGCGGTGCGTCATCTGACGAGCCGCCACAGTATATTCTACACTACTTTGTCCATATAAACTTTTCATTTTGGTATCTCTGATTGTTCCTGAGATCCCGGTAGTAATAATTTGGTTCACCCTGTATATATAACGAATGTTTAAAAGTGGGAACATTTTTTATATTTTAGAACAAAAAATGTTTCTAATAGTTTTTGCTTGTCTGAAGTACAACTTAAATATACTGGTAAATTTTTAATTTAGAAGAAAATGACATTTTTGGCCAAAATTAAAAATAATAAGTTTTTCAAAACATGGGTCAAATTCTTTAGTTTATTTTTACTAAATTTAAATTTCCAAATTGAGTCGGAATTTAAAAAAATATCAAATGTCTAGTTTCGAATGTTTCGACTGCACTTTTATTTTTAAGTTGACCTTCTTTCAAACTTTTTAACTTCAGTGCTATTAGAATTTAGTTAAAAATTTCACATTTTTTGAAAAATGTATTTTTTTTAATTTTAGCTTATCAAAACATAGGTTTCTCCTAAATCCAGAATCTTGTATATCCAGATTGCTCTTAATTTTATTGGAAGAAAAAGTTTTTTCTGAAATCAAATCAAAATATTCTCTATTGGATGCAGGTTTTATGGTGGCGACTGTATAATTTTTAAGTGATCATACTTTATTAAATCTTTGCGTTGGCGATATCGATAAAAAATGTAGGAAATGGAAAGTAATATAGAGCTTATATTGTTATGTAAACTGGCAAACTACACACCCAGAGTAAATTAATTATTTCCGAAATTATAAAATTTTGTGACATTTTCTCAATCACATCGATATTACATTTAAAAACCACCTGGGTCTCTTCCAGTTTCAATTATTTACTCCTAAAGACTTCTTCAGAATTTTCTTTAATAAAACTAGATTAATATTGATTAAATTGATTATTCATTATAAAATACAGTTAATAACTCTAGATATATTGGACAACAAAAAGTAAGAAACATTTAATAGGTTTCTTTAGTGCATGCAAGAAAAAGGATTATATTTTGTTTTATTAATTTTTTTTAAAGATAAAGAACTTCGTAATGTGATAAACCCAACGGATCGATATTAAACTAAATCAAACCGTATCGAGAACAAATGGAACTATTCACATATTCCTAAAAATGATCTCGTTTTATTTTGTATCTTCCATAATCGAATAAAGCAAAATAATTATAGTATGTTGCTGAATTCAGAATGTTGTACAAGAATTTTATGTAAAGAACAGCCATCATCATAAACAACTGACCATGAAAAAGACATGGGATACATGAGAAATGTCTGGAAATTTCATTGTATCGGAAATAATGAATTCTGTACTTCCACATGCTACATTTTATTTATGTTATTTATAATCATTTAGGGTCTATTTTTAAAAGACTAAATCAACTGGTGGGAGCAATGTGTGTGTGTTAGATACTTTATCTGCATTATTGGTTGATTTCACCTCTGCTGAGTAAGCAATTATAGTTCTAACTAGTCTTTATATGAAATGTTTTCACATACCTATGAATAAATTATCTCCTTTTTTGTGATAATAAAAATGTTTATCATTTGTTTTTGTAAACATGAAACATCTACACAGGACAAAGTGGAACCTCTGATTCATAGTAAATATTTTATAGGAATAAAAAACTGATATAAGAATAATTCAATAATTATAAATATACAAGCACATTGCTGACTAATAACATTTTTTTAATAGTTGATAAATTTCAAATAGAATTATTGATTGATATATAATTTAAAATGTATTAAAATAATAAAATAAATTTTGGATAAACACATTTTGTACAGATATGTAAATGAAGGTTGAATATTATCACTAATAAAATAATATTTCACAAGGTGACCAATAAGGAATGGGATAACTTCCTTGGATGAAAATAAACATTTAGATCACATTATTTTAGGGTTAATTAGAATTAAAAACGTTACTTTATTTTCAAAAATACATAATATATGCATTCTATTATTAGCTCTCATATGTTTTTACTCATTTGTTTGACTTCATTTAATAAGATTTTTTTTAATGTGTTTGAACTAACCCAATACGTTTACAAAAGAGTAAAAAAAAAGTTACTTTATTTTCTGCAAAAACAAATTATTTGCTTGTATATAGAGTAACTATTTGTTACAGTTTGCAGATAGTTTAGAAGGTTCTATTCAAATTTTGGTTTCTAATGTGATCAGTCCTTTAATTGTAATTCTGTGAAACAATATAGAATGACCAATATCTCAAGTATAAATGATGTAAATTGCAAAAAAGTTTATTTAAGACGAAAATTTAATAAAATAATGAAGTTTAACTAGATTCAAATATCCCAAATACTCTTTACTGATCGCTGTAGAAAATTAAAATGTATGTTGATGAAACGATACATTTTACTGGCACACAACAAGAATACACTTTTTACAATAAATAAAGTGACCTCTGTTTTATGTAAAAAATAAGCCTTTGTTAATTTTTGTCTAGCCCAAAAACGTATCCTGTGCTAAATTTCAAATGTAAAAACTGATGAAGTTTTTTACCTATATTGGTTTACTTCATTCAAGGAAGCTATGCTTGAAATTTGAAGTATGGCCCATTCATTTTAGGCACTCTATATACAGGGTGGTCCAGATTTTAATAGACAAACTTCGGGAAAGTACTAAACTACAAAATTTAATATCACTTTGCTCTATCAACATAGGCGCCACCACCAGATACAGGGCATTGAAATTATCAAAAATAAAACAATTTTTTTAAATAACTGGATAATCGCTTCATCAAATTTATCCAAATTTGATACATATTTTTCACTATCATAGCAAACATGTCGAATACAACTTTCAAGTAACATGAACAATTAAAGTTGACAACCAGATACAGGGCGTTGAAATTATCAAAAATAAAACAATTTTTTTAAATAACTGGATAATCGCTTCATCAAATTTATCCAAATTTGATACATATTTTTCACTATCATAGCAAACATGTCGAATACAACTTTCAAGTAACATGAACAACAATTAAAGTTATATGAAAAATAAGTAAATTAAATCAATTGCTCGAAGTGTCCATCTGCAAACTCAATGCACTTTTGGCATCTTTTGGTTATATAATTCACAGCAGCTCTGATTAAAACTGGATTTTGCTTCAAATTAGTGCAGGCCTCATTTAACCTTTGCACTAGTTGTTCTCTATTTGCTATAGGAACGGCATAAACGTCATTATTTAGGTTACTCTCAAATAAAATAATCTAAAATATCTATGTCAGATGATCTAGGTGGCCAAGGTATGGTGCCATACCGACCAATCCATCTGTTTTGGTAGTTGTTTGTCAGCCATTTACCTGGCCAGAATGTGCTGGCGCCCCATTCATTTGAAACCAGTTCCCAATTTGTCGGTCAGAAAGTATGTCCTCCATTAACTGGAAGAGACTATTGTCCAAAAAATTTAAAATCAAATCGGAATTTAGTCTAGGTGGAAAGATGTTTACTTGGATAATGTTTTATAACTCGTAAATCATTCACTTTTCGACAAAAATAAAGTAATGTTTTTTCATCCGGAATATTTCAGACCGTTATAAAATGTATTCATATTACCAATTAATTCAGTGGCGTTGAAGTTTTACTTTAAATAGAGAAATGATATCCTTGTTTCTCTGCCACTGGTTTTTGAATTTGGACTGTATGCATACAGAACTAGGAGAATTATTTAAAAAAAAATGTGTACCAAATTTGGATAAATTTGATGAAGTGGTTTTCCTGTTATTTAAAAAAATTGTTTTATTTTTGTTAATTTCAACGCCCTCTATCTCATAAACGGTGGCTTTCAGCACCTATGTTTATAGAGCAAAGTGATGTTAATTTTTGTTTAGTACTTCCCCAAAATTTGTCTATTAAAATCTGGACCACCCTAATATATCTACCCATATGTATATACATATGTTAATGGATCACAAAGCGTATACTAAGGTAACACTACAGAATTTTAAAACTAATTTTTCTTAAGCTCAAATATTTTTTGAGCTAGACCGATTTCCTCAAAAAAGAAAAATGTTAATATTTTGCACTGAAAATGTTTGTGTTGCATGAACAAGTCACTACATGTTAATTTTTCTTTCACAGAACATACAGAAATCATCACAACCAGCACCTGCCGCACCACCAACGACAAACACTAACAGCATCCCGAGCAGCGCCCCGGCGGCTTCCCCGGTTGTCCCTCCCATTAGCGTCGCAAGCTTAACGGTGAAACAGCAACTGCCAGCCACCACAGCAGCATTGCCTGTAACTGCTCGTAAACCATCTGTTACCTCTGAAAAACCTCCCGGAATATCTCCCTTGCCTGTACAAACTGTCACTCCCACTACCGTCCCACAAGCCCCCAAACCAGTGGCCATACCCACCCCCTCACCGGACAAGCCCAAACCTCACATTATATCGCCTATCAGTACTTACACGGATCCTCTAGAGCAGTCCCTCGCGAGTTTAGAGCACGATATCAAGCAGAGCGATTCAATTGACGCTATTACCGCGTCTACCATGATGCAAATGCCTACGACGCTTAGCAACCCTGTCATTGCCCATCCGCACCCCCATCCGGCTATAAACTTGAACCCTAACCTAAACCACCCCATTTTGCAGCCCAGTACGATGGGTATGGACCTTAAAGCACCGGTCACGATTAGTGGTTTGATGCCGACAAATTCCATGATGCACCAGGGAATCCACAATTCGTTAGAACCGGACTTGCAGAATATGATGCAGACGCATTCCAACCCGCATTCGAATATTATGCACACGCAGAACAACGGCTTTGGAATGAAACACGATTTCGAGATGGGTACTAACAACAATGGCATATCTTCGATGGGGCTGTCCATGGAGTTGTCCATACCGTCGATGTTCGATCCATTACCTCCCCATTTGAATAACCAAGTCATGAAGACGGAACCTTCACAGATAAAGATGGAAGATCGGATGGACCCCATGAACAACATGATGAATGATAAGAAGCCGCCCATAGAACAAAAATCCCATTCGCAAGTCTTTGCTAACTTCAAGTCTAGCAAGCAGGAACACAACGTGAAGAACGCCAGCTCTTGGTGTAGTCTGGCGAAAGGAAAATCGCCGCAGAATAGCACTCCCGGTGGTAGCAGTAAGCAGCAGGTAATGGATAGCTTTAAACAATTCCAGAATAAGGCCAAGGAGAAGGCGGACCGAGAGAAGCAACGTTTGGAGAACTTAGAACTCAAGAGGCAACAAAGGGAACAAGCAGAGAAAGAAAGATTGAGGGCCGAGAATGAGAGGAGGCGGGAACGAGAGGAGGAAGACGCCCTTGAGAAAGCAAGGTAAGAAATGTGTATAAGGTTTGGTAACTACACAGGGTGTTTTATAAGTTAGGGTAGGACTCTTCAGAATAAACAAGTTTTTCAGATAATATATTTTCTAAACATATACGGAAAAAGCCATTTGAAATATTGTAACTTTTATATTAATAGCTGGATGTCCAACAAAAAATTTTATAGTTATAGTCCAGGTCCAAAGTACTAGGCAGTGGCTCAATCTCAACATGTAGATCTGTGCAACAGATGAGGTGTGTGAAAAATTATTAAATATGAAACAAGAAATATACAGGGTGTTCCACTGAGGTCAGCGAGGTACAATATTAGAGAAAGTATAGACCCTAGAGCTTCGGGAAAAAAATTTTGATTAATAAATTGACCAAGAGAAATCGATGGAAATAGTTTTCAAGTTGGTCGTTCGGTTGCTAGGGGGTGCAATCTGCATACCAAAACATTTTGTTTTGGTAATTAAATGTTTTTTCATTAGGGTCGTGTTCCTCAATTCATTATCATTATTTATTCTTTGCTTACTAATTTGCGAATAACTTGATAACAAAAAAATATATTAAACCCTTTTTGGCGTCAAAATATACCTATTATTATGCTCTTCAAACTAACCTATAAGAAGTTTTTTCCAGCTATTTCATTTTTTTAAGAAAACGTGAAATAACCTAAACTTGGATAAATAGCACCTATAAATAAACAACACTTTCGTTATACTATACTATATTCATCAATTTTTTGTGCTGAATTCATTTATGTAAAGAAAATTATAGCATTGCATTTAAAATATTTGAGAAAAATCCATAAAACCGCATTCTTTTGAAGTAACATCGTCTATAGGTTTCCATATTGAGGTAAATGACATGCAATCACCACGATATAAAGCATAAAAAGACCTTTCCGACGAGGTATAACACTATGGGCTTTTGATGAGCCAATCTTTAAAAAAATGCATTTTTCTGATCAGAAATTAGGGGCTTCTCCCACCCTTTCTTTCGAGAGATAGAACAAAATGTCAATAACATTTGTATATTTGTACTATTTAATATGAATAGGAAACATTTCTGAGAAAAATTCAACTCTATGCTTTGGTATGTAGATTGCTCCCCCTAGCGGCCAAGCTACGAACTTGTAAACTATTTCCATTGATTTCTCTTGGTTGATTTATTAATCATAATTTTTTCCCCGAAGCTCTAAGACCTATACTTTCCCTAATATCGTACCTCGTCGACCTTAGTGGGACACCCTGTATATGCTGATTTTGATAAAAACTGTATTATCTTTAAAACTTGACTCATTTTTGTATATCCAAATATCCAACAGGTAGGTAGGTACTTTTTTATTTTATATTAATGTATTCATCAGTTCTGCTCTCATAGATAAAATATAGCCTTCACTACCACCTACATACAGTTTAGCCGTTGGATCTTTATGCTCATGTCATCAGGCATATTCGTATGAACTAAAATTGCAAACGAGTTCGAATCAGCAATTGTCTTCATGAATTAGTGTTCATTTAAGAAATAGTGAGGATTCATTATTTATATAATGAAAACATGTTTTGTGATTTTTTGCATCATAACAACTGTTTAAACTCCACCAAAACCAAACAGACTTCCTCTCGGTTTACTGAAACAACCACAGAACTCGCAGAAAATCCATTTGTTAAAAAAAAGACCCTAGGAAACGATATTAGTCAAATATATCGACACGTTACAACGAAAACGTGCTATCTCAAATTTAGCTTAGCAAACATGCTACCTCAAATTAAGCTTGGAAAACATGGTAGCTCAGATCTTTAAGTAAAAACATGCTATCTCACACAAAAGTAAGTTTGACTAGAAATTTAAGTTGGCTGCATTGGCGTTGAAATCCCGGGTCCGAATCGTTCTAAGCTGGACAATATGCCCCTGTAGAGCAGCTATACCTGAATTGTCTTGGCAATTGCTCTTAACTTGCATTCAGATAAAGTCGTGATCTTTACACACAGCTTTGTATTTATAAATCCATAATTAAAAATTTCCAAAATTTTTCAGTTTTTTTGTGAAATTCAGTTCTTACAATCTTTTCAAATAAGAACAAGATGCAACAATTTGTAGAAAAATATCATTTATTTATACTTTTTCAACAACTTAATACATAAACTATTTAAAAGTATAGCTAAAAATTTTATCACTTATTCATAAAATTTCATTAATAGAGTTAATATAATAACCAGAATATAAATATAATGTATAAAGTTGAATGATATGTACAATAAATATGTGTGCAGGGGGAAACGTGCACGTGCATATCATCTACTCTCGGCCCGTCGCATCGATATCCAGCAGATCATAAAGTACCGCTAATAAAAATGTCGCATACCTGCATTTCATTTCCAAAGTATGCAAGCACGCGGCTAGCGTACCTTTAAGAAGCCACTTGTTTTTATTGAGGTGCGGTAAGAACGATTTGGATCTGGTGTTTGGGACCTAGCTTGATCCACTATATAATCCTTTTTATTAGAGTCTCCTTAAAAGTCGTCATTAAGCATATAAAATTATTTTCAGAATAAATTGAGCATCCCAGATTATGTGAAAAAAAAAAGTGTATCAAAAGTAGTGACTATAAATCAGATAAGAGTGCGCTATTAATTTTTATATCAAAGTAAACTTGCATGAAAAAAATCGAATAATTTTTAGTTATAATAAACATTTTTATATATTAAAGTATACCCTATTTTTTTTATAATTTGTTATTTCAAAAAACGTCAAGTAATGTATGTGTTGCAGCATAGAACTTAAAAAAATTAATTGAAAAATGTTGAATGAAAAAAATAAAATAAACAGTGTACCTGAACATAAATATTCCTTTTTGAAAAATATATTATATAGTTTATTGTAAGTGCACGGTTTCAATCATTCAATGTGTATTTCAATGCCAATGCAGACAACTTAAATTTCTAGTTAAACTGAGATAGCATGTTTTTACTTCAAGATCTGAGCTAGCATGTTTTTCAAGCTCAATTTGAGGTAGTATGTTTTCGTAGTAACGCATCGATATGTCTACATTTTAAGCACACAGCAAACGGCAGTGTGTCTGCGTCTTTCCTATTCATCAGGGAAATTAATAACCTCTGTCAGAACTAGTATCGGTCGCGCAACCTGTGAAGGCAATTGCTTGTCTTTTTCTATCGTTAGTTAATTCACGTTGATCAATAATTGAACATTTGTCTTTTATATTGATGACGTGAATGTAAAGATCCAACGGCTCAACTGTACATACAGGGTAATTCAGAACTTATCCAAAAAAAAAATTTGGGACTCTTACAAATACAATCTTGTAAAAAAAAAAATCTAAAAAGGCAGTTCGAAAATGATTTAAAAATACACTTCTTCACGACACTGGAAACTGGTTCACTGTACACAAGATGAAGTGTAATAAAAAACGTACAAAAACTTGAAAGAATTTTGCAAGGAAAGAAACAAATATAACTTTATAAGACCCATTTTACATCAGCAAATTCAACTGCTTTTGCCCCTGTTGTTATTATTAATTAATGAAACTAATTTGTGATTTTACTTCATAAAATAAGTTGTTCAAAATTTTGTCCACCAACATTTGGACCTGTTGTACCCAGTTTCTACGAACTAACACAAATGTTGTCTTGCTTCACCATAAATTAAAACGATATCCATCAACTCCGAGTTGCTATACATGTAACCCATGGGGACCGCCTAGCCGGGTGTCTTGGCAGGTGGATTTCGATCTGCCGAGGCAAGCATCACGGACGTGGGCTGGAATTTGGATGGGTGACCTAAGGCAGGCTCGGGGACGTGGCTGTGGCAGCCTACCAAGAGACCTGGGTCGCCCAACATTTGCCACACGCGTGTTGTCCCCGATAAATGGTAATGAGAACAGAGCAAGAAAATCTCTGTAACTCAAGACCATGCTATCATACATAAACTGTACGAGACTTTGCCACCAAGCCACCCATGTACTAAATAGGATGGTTTGAAGAAAAGTACTCGTGTAATGAAGGAGGGTGTACAAGGGGCCTAATAAGGTCTAAGTGCCACGGTGGAAGACAATTCCACCACCCTCCGACATACATACATACATACATACATGTAACCCATTTTTGACACTTGGAAAAGTAATGTAATACCTACTAAAATCGGATTTCAGTACTCGAAATTACTTGGAGCCACTTGGAGAGAGAGAGCGAATTGCGTACAGCTCACAACGTGAATAATAATAATAATAATAATAAGAATTTATTCCCGTTCGACATATTACATGTATAGAAATTGTCATATGGAATGACGCTAGAGACTACAGTAGCCCAGCTATGTAAGGCTTTAAAATACTACAACTTCGATAATTTTTCTCTCGAAAACTATAAGAATTTTACAAAATTTTTTTTTACGATATTGCCTTTATTTTTCATGTCGCATCTATTCTCAAATTTTTTTGAATAAGTTGTGATTTGTATTTTCCTTATTTTTTATTATGGAATGTAGCCTGCAATTGCATTAGCTGGGCAAGTGGGTCATGTGAAAAATCTACTTATACAAGGTGTAAGAAGTTAGTACTGTAACAGTAAAATGACAGAAAATCAGTAAAAGCACTAAAAGTAGAATCACTAACTACATCAGTGAATAATGTGATGGACCATAATAAGATGCTATAAACGAAGTATTCGTAGACTATGGTAAAGCGTATTATCAAGAACAATTACTGTATCTGGCTCCATATTATCCATATTTTCATGGTGATGTAATCGTTGCAATTCGAACACTTTATTAAACGCTGTCATTTCTCAGAGGGTGCCTTTATTTCCATAGATCTTTTGAAAAATACTTAGGAACCATACGTCAAGTAATAAAAATGAATAATTTATTCTTTAATCATGACTAACTGAATACTAATTTCATGTCTAATGTATCTGTATTTTATTTGAGAAAATTGTTTATAAAATTTACCTATTTTATGACATCTTTGGACACAGCCACTATGGCATTTTCATACAATTATAGATACGTTATCATGATAGGTTATACTAAAATCACATTTCATAGTAGTTTAGTATTTTCTTTTTGTCTTAAGGCATACACGATGCAATACCTTAAGCAGTAGTGGTGGTTTCAAATGGCCAAATTTACCCCAGTGATAAATTAATGGATATAATATACTGGGAGTGCGCCAAAATGCTGTTATAGCATCATGATTATAAAACAAGTGTTTTTCTTTATGATTTCGTCCTACAGTTTTTGTGACTCGAGAAACAGGACACTTATAGGTAAATCAGTGATGCAAATCTGACCAAATAACTTCTAGTACAGTTTTTTCTGTACACTCTAATTTTGATCTGAACAGGAAACTGTATGTCAAAAATTATAATTGTTATTTTAGTATCCTTACTGAAAAACAAAATAACTGGAAAAAAAAGACTTGCCAGATTAACTGTTCACTAGGTAAACTTTCAGACAATATCGCATTGTTTCTTTTCTCAGAAAATCCGTGGCCGAGCAGCAACAGCCTCTACCAGCTCAGAGGGTGGAAGAACTGCGGTCTTCCCCAGGAGAAGGTAGCACATCGCCTGGTTCTTTGAGTTCAGGTTCGGAGAGAATATCAGAAAGGGAGCGTCAAAGGTTACAAGAGCAGGAAAGGAGAAGGAGAGAAGTGGTAAGTGTTCGAAGTAAGAATTAGTGACTGTGAAACACAGGCGTATTCTTTTGGAATCTTATGATAAATAGTTTAGATAGCTTAAATAATGGCGTTTGCATTTTTCAGATGGCTAATAAAATAGACATGAACATGCAAAGTGATTTAATGGCTGCCTTCGAGGGATCATTATAATAAAGCGTTTTATATGTGTGTGCGTGCGACAAAAAAACTTGGAGGAAAATTTGTGTAATTAATGTATTTATACGATAATTTCATCAGGTGTTACTACATTTAGACGCTCAAGACTTTAAATATGCTTCCAAGATGAGTTTTGCTTTAAATCATTTATGGTATGATTTTGTACGGCATGACTCATGTTTTTAACTATTTTTTTGTATAAGTTAGTAAATTTTTCACGTAGTGTGTATATAGAATAATATAAATTTATTATACTGTACAGAAATGTTGGGTTGATTTTAGGTAAGTTTCTTCATAACTACGAACTGTGTTAGCATTTTGAAACGACAGTACACTTCTGCTTTCGTTTATCTTGGTCCGTGCTTACCCCGAAGATGTTTCTAATTTGATTTTGGATAATGGTATTTAATAATTTCTTATGATACTCATAATTTAGTTAGTTTTTATTTGAAGGAGCTGTACCGTGTCGTTTTTCACCTTAAATGCTAATGTGTTTAGGTAGAGTACTTCCTTATTGACAAGTACCGGATTATTTGAATGTACTGTAAATTTGATTACTTTAAACAGACTGCCTTAATTGGGGTGAACAGGGTGGCCAAGGATTTTCATAAAAAAATAAAATAAAACTGAAATTAGTTGACTATAAAATAGATGCAATTTTAGTAATAACCCTATTAATTTATTGTTATGAAGTGTATTGATTGTGAAAAAGTCGGTGTTAAACGATGTAATTTGAATAATTTTTAAAATATAACACAATAAAGGAATGAGTTAAAAGTTTTTTTTACAAAAATCGTTAATGCAACTACGTTTTTATTGTAGTCATGACCACAATTTTTAACGATCAAGTGTGTATCTAAAATTTAGATAATTTTGTAGTAATTGATAATAACAGATGTTTATACTTATAGTTAGATTTGAAAATGTATATGGATATACTTAAAAAAAAAATAGGGTGTTGTGGGCATAATTGGTAGTTGTGGTAATTTTCATACAAATCCTACGAAGTTAATATATTTTTTTCTACTATAATTATATGTGCCAGGAAATGTTATAAAACTCACACTTATGTTATTACTTAATCGTTTTAGTAATTTTTGAGTTATTCTTAAATTTTACAACCTATAAATGAATATTTTGAAAAGTACCACAACTACCGAGTTTGCCTTGTGGGAAAATCTAAAAAAATAAAATATTCCCATAACGGCGGTAAATTCAGTTTGTTTATTTCTTTGAAAAATATTTGTAATATTTTGAAATAGTTTTTAATCATCACATATTTTTTTACGGGGTGTTTCAGATTTAATTGGCCAAATTTAAAACATGAATTCAGATGATCAAAATAGGAAATATCTGGAAACACTTTATTTTTGAGATAGTGTGTTGAAATTTGAAAACGATTTTTTTTTAGTTTTCATATGATTTGACTTAGATTATCAAAACTTGAGCTGATATAAAGTAAATCGACCAATGGCAGAGATATTTGTTGTCACTAGGAATTCCAAAAATTCAATTCCACTGGGTATTTCGGAAATTTGCTTGCTGCTTGTAACTGCTAGTAGTATTTCGAAGATAAAAATCTTCCATTTTATTCGAAAAACAGATTATTTTTGTGTTATTTTTTAAAACTTACAGGATTGCTGCAATTAACTAAAATAACTTTAAAATTCGATTCTGGACTACTTCAGGATGTGTTTGAGCATTGGATACAAGCGCAGTTTCAATTTAATCGACCAAAATTCAACTACATTTGCGCCTGATTGGTTCCTTGTTCTAAATTAGTCTGAGATCGCTGCTGCTAATTGTATTGTCAGTTATAATTCCCATATAGAACCATTGTAAGATTTTTCGTTAAAAAATTTAATTTAACGCTTTTAAATGTAATCACGAATTATCTGAAGAAAAAATATCGCTTTTTTTGCTATATAGTACTTAATTTTATATTATATTTAAAAATTATTTTCTGAATATTTTTCTCTTATTTTGACAATCCACTTTCAAATTTCAATTGGCCAATTAATTCTGGAACATTATTAAATTTAGGAAAATTGTTTCCATTTTTTCCAAAATTTCTAATTTCTTTTGAAGAAACAAGATTTAACATTGACTTAATAATTACGGTTGTTAATGATTGAATTTACTACTTGTTTCGCATACGACACTTGTAGACGCAAAGTATTTTAATTTTATTGTATGCTAGTAGGTTTCTTGACACGTTGCAAATAAATTGAAAAACGAGAGAAAAAAAGTGAAATCAATTTAGTTAAGTGATGAATAATAATTTGTAGGTGGTCATGAGGAATATTGTAAGTTTCCCCACTCATTAGTTAACATAAAAAATTAGAATTGAATCGAGTACGTTTAATTATCAAATGAATTTACCAAATTTGTAAATTATTTTTCTTAACTAGCAATAAGGTATTTTCATTATAAATACACTAATAGTACTTTACTTTGTTATTTCTTTTTAATGAGCTACGATATTTCGCAGAAAATGTAAAAATTATTGTAAAGTATATATATCGGTGCTGGTCTTAGCGTTCGATATATGATTGACATTACCAAAATAAATATCATGTTACTCTATCTTATACAATTATACAAAAATGCATCAGCATTTTTCTAAACCTAAAAGTATATTTCAATTATCTTTTTATTTATAATGAAGTGTAAAATAATAATTTATAATGTATGGCTGTTATATATTTTTTCATTATTTTGAATTTAAGTCATAAATAGTGATGTTAGAATAAATATTTAAGACATACACTTGTTTTTCTTTATATGTTTTCTGTTCCTAATAATTTTTTGTGAAAATATACCCAAAATTTATCTAAATTTTAAGGAATTAAACAATTTTGCATGGTGATTTTTACTCACTGACATCTATGTATTAGAACTGCTTCAAAAAGTTATATTAAGGTAGTATTTTAGAAAAAAAAACATTAGCTCCCACATTTTTTGCATACAGGGTGCTTCTGAAATAAGTGTATCCCTTGGAAAGGGTAATAGAGAGCACGAAAATAAGCAATTGATTATGTTTTAAATTGAAAAAGAAGATTCACGATTTAAACAAATTTAAAGCCACCTTGTGTGGCAGCCAGCTGTACCTTTGTTATCGAAGATGGCGTGTGCCGTAGTACAAAGCGCTGATGTCGGTTTTGACGGTTTAAAATCTGTGTTCGAAAATACTGAAATTTATTCAAATCTTGTTTAGTAACACAAAAATTAAATGAAACAGACGATATTCTCTACAAAAATTGTTCAAAGTCATGTGCCAATAAACATGCTTCCAAATGACGGTCAAAATTCTGTCACCAAAACCATCACACCACATTTACTGAAAACCGTTGCTGAAACCAAAATCCCTGTACTCATGAGGATTTGCATTGCACCAATAACCGATTTATACGCCGGCTAAGTAATACTGCAACAAAACACACCTGCACAAGATGCACAGGGTCATCTTACATTTATGGTTAATTTTCTTTACTAATTTTCTCGAAAACAGAAGCATTTACACAATTGCTTAGCAAAAGTTGCTCGTTTTCGTGCCCTTTTCAAGGAACCCACTTATTTCAGAAACACCCTGTATTGAAGACATTAAGCTAGTTAAAAAAAACTGAAAAACTGAAGTCAAACCAGGGCCCGAGAACTTATACTTGAAAATATGGGGAAACTCTGGGAACCACGTGACTTGAGATGGATATACAAGTTGGGGAAAGAGTCTACAGATGTCGCCACAAAGATTTTGTAGAATAAATTTTGACAATTGCAATTATGAATCATTTCATGTCATTTTTGTTCTTGTTCATGTTTATTGTTTATTGTTGGTTAGGTTTGGCGAGTGTTGGTGTGTGTTTTATTTGTGTTTTTAGTGTGTTTTATTAGATATTTCATTCACATTTATTTATATAACATAATAATGTCTGATCATCATATAATCACATTTTTTTATTAATAATAAATATTTTTTTGTTTTTTTTAATAAAAAATGTGATCAGAGGTAGGGAGCTTTTTTATGGATATCAACACAACGAAAAATTTAAAGTTGCATAATAAATCTCTATTACAAGAATTAATCAAAGATTGGTTTAGTAAAATTATTTACTTGTAATATTTTTTTATTCACCGTGAAAGCTAATACAATATAGAAAGCACTGAAACTCTATAATCATTTTCACTCTTTTTTTCAAAATATGTACTGAAATTTGAAATTTTTTCAACAAACATTTTAAAAAGTTACAGTATCAAAATTATTTCTTATTTTAAGTAGGAAGACTATTAGAGCATTTAAAAGTGACTTTAATGCTTGAGTGATTTTAATGCTTTTTATCAAATGTACTTATTTTCTCATGGTGACAAAAAAAATTATTTACGTGAAAATTATTTTACAAAATCAATTTCTGAGTGATCTGTGTAGGGTGAGATTTGTTATGTAATTTTAAATTTAGCGGCGGCAGAATACCTAAAACAAATAGGTATATAGTTGTAGAGCGTACAACTAGATGGCGCTTGCATCTTTTACCGGCTACAGGTAATTTAACTCACTGTATTACCGACAATTCCTAGAAAAGGAAAGCAATAGAAGTTGGAGAAAGTGTCAACAGTTAGCGCTGTTAATGACCACGAAATCTGTTCAAGTTTCCTATCTATAGTATCATTTATCTAGGAGTCAAACCATATTAGTAACTAAATTTATTTATTCTTACGAGTCAAACAATGTTCTTTGATACTAGGAATATAGGTGTGCAAAATAGTGATGGGAGATTTCGAGTGAAAAATCGAGTGGCACTCGATTATTGAGATCACTCGAGATATCTCGAGATGTTTACTCCCACCACTCGAGTGATTATTACCCTACGGTTGCACCCCAAAATGTTAGTGCATACTGCAAATAGTCACTGATTGCGTAACCTTTTTTTAGAATAAAACGAAAAAGTGGTTAGGTTTTGAAGTGCGTGAGCTTTTTTTTTTT